CGGTCATTGAGAACAGCTCTTAGGAGCTCTGTGAGAATCTGTAAGGAAGTCTGGAGGAGCTTGTATGACCTGCGAGTCTGTGTTGATGGCCTTAGAATCTTGGCCAGTGCCGACACAGTTCGCGGCATGATGCTGGCAAGTACCACGCGGTCCGTGATTCGAGCATAAAGTGCCTGCAAAGCCCTGGCGGCTGCTAGACAGAGCTCATCTGATCTATCATCAACAATTCCCTCAAGTAGGATATATACTGTTTGATCGATAACCGTCGCTGTGCCGATCTCGTGATATATTGTCCGTTCTGGCTCAGCTCCTTCTAAGACCGTGAATATGGCGCTGAGGCAGTCAAACCCAGCAATACACAATTCTTCTGAAACCTTAGGCTTCGGTAGTTGTTTCTCTTCCGCTTTGCTTTGAGATCCTCCCACGATCAACGTCAACAGGATTATGAGTTGCTTGCCCATTGCAGGAGACAGCCGTTGCCGCCACCCATCAGCGACCAGTATCCGCAAACAGTTGACGGCCGATTCCAAGCATTGTGCAGGTAGTCTTTGCGTCTCATTGAAGATATGCGATAATGGAAAGAATGCATATTCAGCTAGCTTCTCGTCGAGGGTATTGTTCCGCGCGAGTTCCTTTAAACAGTTGTACACCGGCTCAAGGACTCGGGATACATCGGCCGCGGAAGCTTGATTTCCTCGGAAGCCAAGCCCTATAGCGCTAAGTTCCACGCATGGCGCTCGGAGCTATTAACAGGTCAGCGCCCTTCGTCCTAAGAGCCGAATGAATCCTGACATACCTTCTTGAAAGATTCCTGCCGGAGGTTGTCCATTGCAGCCGAGCAACGCCGGGCAGCGTTAGAGTGGCAAGATAGTAGGCTGGGTGTTGAGTGAGGGACAGTACTAGATCAGTCAAACATCAAAGAGCTCCATTGTAAACACCGTCGGACCCATTGTGATGGAATACAGCGGGACTGCATCCCAAAACTGCACCGCTCTGTCATCATCTGCCGGCATAATCAAGCGGTGAACACAATCTATCCCGAAAGGGCAAGATAACGCTGCACGTGATACGTTAGCGCGTCTCAACGCGTGGGAATCCCGACAGCTGCCTGCGACAAAGCAACCAGTGTTGCCTTGGCTATTTTAATTCCGGCTTTGGTCTGCTTGGACTATATATTGGGCTATATTCTGTGCCCATTAAGTTCCAGGAGAATTGCCTATGCGGGTTGTGCGGATTCCAGAGCTCGCGCTTTTATCGCTTTCGCGCTCAAGACCTAGCTTCAGCATACGATCTGCAAGACAACATAATTCCTTGACCACACCAATCTCCAAGCTATCTACAGGCTTAATATCAGCCAGCCTGGCAGCGCAGCAAAATTTTAGTTTGAACAAAACGACGTTCTCAGCATCGCGAATCATGGCTGATGATAAGAGCAGGAAACAGGCTACCCTAGGGTATGTACGGGATGGACAGCAGACGATTGGGTGCGTCGACAATACCGATGGCGCATGCGCCCTTTCACTCTGACTTTTTTTGCCCTTGTTTTGGTTCACTCCGCTAATTCATTCTATTCGTTGTAGGAGGTTTTTCGGCTCGGGTGCGAACCAACCGCCGAAGAAGCAAACCACATTAGCTTTTGGTGGGAAGAGACAAGCTGCAAGCAGTGATGCCGCTGAGGCGGAGCCCAAGGATACCACCGACGAAGTTAAGGCGGAAGACGCCACCGACTCAGCATCAACAGCCGCCCTCAATGGGGCGGAGCCAATGAAGGGCGTGAAGCGGGAAAAGAGCGCCGAGGCGGAAGAAAGCGATGGTTCCGATATCCAGCCTGTCTCTAAAAGGCGTCGAAAGGCCTCCGCGAAGACCTCTCCTGCTGCGAAGAAGCAATCGGCATCCCCGAAGAAGCCCGAGTCAACAAAGCCAAAGGTTAAATCGCCATCACCACCACCTGTCGCAAAAAGGCTCTCTGACATTACTCCCGAAGAGAAGTCACCGTCAGTCGAAGAAGAGGAGGACCCATTGGAAAGCGAAGACGAGGATGACCTCAAGCCGGAGCTCACGAAGAAATCAATCGAAAAATTCCAAGCTAAATTGAAAGGCAGTGGTAAAGATCCGTACCCAGACTGGAAAGCAGGTGCTCCTGTCCCTTACGCTGCGTTATGTACCACATTTTCTCTAGTGGAGATGACCAGAAAGCGCTTGGAAATCACGGACCACTGTTCCCTTTTCCTTCGTCAGGTTCTCCGGCTGACACCTTCCGATTTCCTACCCACTGTTCAGCTGATGATCAATAAACTGGCTGCCGATTATGCCGGAATTGAACTGGGCATCGGGGAGTCACTAATCATGAAAGCTATTGGTGAATGTACCGGCCGCAGCCTTGCCGTCATTAAGGCCGATCAACGCGAAATTGGAGACCTGGGACTGGTCGCTGCCAAAAGTCGGTCAAACCAGCCTACCATGTTCAAGCCTAAGCCTTTGACTGTCCGAGGTGTACATGAAGGCCTTCTTGGAATCGCGAAGGTCCAGGGTCATGGATCTCAAGACAAAAAGATTTCAGGCATCAAGAAACTGTTGGCTGCAGCCGATGCCGACACTGCTGGCAAGGGAGTGGATATCACCGAGAACAAGGGCGGCCCGAGTGAAGCCAAATTCATCGTTCGCTTTTTGGAAGGTAAACTGAGACTGGGCCTCGCAGAGAAGACAGTTCTTGTCGCTGTTTCTCGGGCAGTCCAGACCCACGAGGCTGAATCAGCTGGCAAGAAGATCCCGTCTGCAGAGGAAATGGTCGAAGGTGAAAACATCTTCAAGACTGTTTACAGCGAGCTTCCTGCCTACGAAGTAATCATTCCTGCAGTTCTTGAGCATGGTCTGCTCAAGCTGCCTGAAGTGTGCAAGCTTTCCCCGGGAATTCCTATCAAACCTATGCTTGCCAAACCAACCAAGTCTATAACTGAGGTTCTTGACCGGTTCGAAGGGAAGGAATTTACTTGCGAATATAAATACGATGGAGAAAGAGCACAGATCCATTTTGTGTCTCCGGATTCTATCCACCAGTATCCTGGAGCCTTGAACACATTACAGAAGGACAGCAAAGGACTCTCGTCAATCTTCTCCCGCAACTCAGAAGATCTTTCGAAGAAGTATCCCGATGTTCTAGGCAAGCTCGACACGTGGGTCAAAGCTGACGTTAAGAGCTTCGTTCTCGATTGCGAAACTGTCGCGTGGGATACGGAGGCCAAAAAGGTTCTTCCATTCCAACAACTGATGACTCGCAAGCGCAAGGATGTCAAAGCGGAGGATGTCAAGGTCAAGGTCTGCGTGTATGCCTTTGATTTGCTTTTCTTCAATGGAGAGGTAAGACCATTCGTCTCTTTAATGACTATGAAAGAGCGATTCGCTGGATTCCTCTTTCTATCTTCTTTTCCCTCGCGATTTGGTGGTCTTCTCGTTTATCGCCAGGGTTATGAGAGAGGAAAGAGGTGCAGCGAGTCGCTTTTGGCCATACCTAGTTTTTCTCGCTAACTTTGCAATAGCCTTGCGTCAAGAAGTCTCTACGGGAACGGCGAGAGCTTATGCACCAATGCTTCCAACCGATTGAAGGGGAGTTCCAATTTGCCCAGTATGGCAACTCCAATGTTCTCGATGAGATCCAAGAATTGCTCGAGGCTAGTGTTAAAGCTTCGTGTGAGGGTCTTATGGTGAAGATGCTGGACACAGCGGAGAGTGGCTATGAGCCAAGTAAACGGAGTCGCAACTGGCTGAAGGTATGAATGCCTCTTTTGTTGACTTCCTATTCAACAAATTGCTAACGAATCATCCAGGTTAAAAAAGATTATCTCGCTGGCGTTGGCGACTCCCTCGATCTTGTCGTACTTGGGGCCTACTACGGTCGTGGAAAACGTACTTCTGTTTACGGTGCCTTCCTTCTCGCTGCCTATAACCCCAACAGTGACACATACGAGACCATATGTAACATCGGCACTGGCTTCTCCGAGGTGCTACTTGAAGAGCTACACCAGACGCTAGTTCCTCTGGTAATTGACCGCCCAAAGCCATTTTACACTCACTCGGCCGTCCCAAAGGATCAACCGGATGTTTGGTTCGAGCCAAGACTTGTGTGGGAAGTGAAAACAGCCGACTTGACCCTCAGTCCACGCTACCAAGCCGCTGCCGATGAGTTCCAAGGAACAACCGGTGGTGGAAAGGGTGTGTCTCTGCGTTTCCCGCGATATATCAAATCTCGCGACGATAAGAAACCAGACGAGGCTACTACCACGCGTGCTGTGGCGGAGATGTATCGGAAACAAGAAGCAGTCGCCAAAGAGACTGGGAGCAAGGGGGGTGTGGATGATGACTTTGAGTATTGAAGCGATTTTGTCAAACGAACTATAGCGATTGTAATCAAATTCATTGGATATTGATATTCCCGCGTCGCGTAGTCGTACATATTGTGTAAATTGCACCATTTTGCTCATATGGGGTGCATCATTAGGGCTTACCATGGTGCCACTAGTATCCTTCCTTTGACTCTCTATACGATCTCGGGGATGATTTCCCGTAGGCATCTCTCTGTTTGCTTACTATAATCTATCTTTTTTAGGATAATTCCCCTGTTGATCATGATTCAATATCATGACTGTCTTCCATAATCCCGGCTATCAACGGATTATCAGCGGACTCCGGTACGCTTGGCGCTGCACCAAGCAGCCGGACCCTTCTTGGCACAATGTCGGCCTGCGCCCCGCGTTTCTTTGTTAGCATCACGTCTTATTAGTGGCTTGGAAACGGCCAACAACTGGAAATAACATCATGCCTATCTTTCTTGGCACCGCGGAATGTAACATGCCCCCCTTCGACGGCAAAGTGCGCTATCCGCCATGGCTACTAGCTGACTCGGCGTGCGGAGTCACAACACTTATATTTCAGGGTCTGCTGCAGCCCGTTTACTACTCTGCACGTTTCTCCTGGGCTGTGTGGGTTCATACTTGATTGTCAATATGCGTGTGTTTCAATTGACGACGGCTCTCGGGTCGATCGTCATTTCTGCGGCAGCTCTTACACCCGAGTAAGTGCCGATCTTCTAAGCCAATTTATCAATTGTGCTTCTTCGCCGGATGCTGATCTTCTTTGTAGACAACTTATCTCGGCTCCGAGACGGAGTGACGCTGTTCCCAATCCATCTGGAGTGAGTTGCGCTAGTAGCTGTATGCAGATATCGATCAAGCGTTATTAACCTGACATAGGAAGTTGCATTCTTTTCCACCTCTGAATACTCCTTCGAGACCCACACCACATCATCATGGTGGAGTCTGCTGGATCTGAAGACTGGAAAAGTCACCAAGCTTACCGACGACAGCAATGTCTCGGAATTGGCTTGGCTGGGGTCTACTGACTCGGGTCTGTTGTATATCAACGGCACCAATGCCGAGATTCCTGGAGGTACCGAGATTTGGGTGTCAGATACCTCTGACTTTACAAACTCGTAAGTTTACATGCATATTTGGATGAACCATTCCTAACTTCTGTGCAGTGCCTACAAGGCGGCTTCACTGCCGGCGCCGCTTTCTGGCCTCAAGACCGCCATCACCAAGTCTGGAGATATTAACTTCTTGGTGTATGGAGAATCTTACCCCAACGGAACGGCGTACAATAAAGAGCTCGCCACCACGCCCCTCAGCTCGGCGCGTATCTACGATAGTATCTACGTCCGCCACTGGGATACGTGGCTCACTACCAGATTCAATGCTATCTTCTCAGGAACTCTAAAGAAGAAGAGAGCCGGACATGGAGCGACCTCCCGCTACGCTTCTAATGGATCTCTCAAGAACCTCGTCGCAGGAGTCAAGAACCTCGAGTCACCCTACCCGCCATTCGGTGATTCGTCTGAGTATGACATCTCCCCCAACGGAAAGTTGGTTGCATTCAAGAGCAAGGCTCCTGAGCTGCCACGCGCAAACAACACTGCTTCATATATCTATCTTGTGCCCCATGATGGATCCAAGAAGGCCGTGGCTATCAATGGCCCAGACAGCCCTGGCACGCCGAAAGACATCAAGGGTGATTCGAGCAGCCCTGTCTTTTCCCCAGATAGTCGTCGCCTTGCATACCTCCAAATGCAAGATATCTCTTATGAGTCAGATCGTCGTGTTGTCTACGTTCACACTATTGACTCCAAGGATACTATTCGTACCTTGGCCAAGGACTGGGATCGCTCACCTAGTCTTATCAAGTGGTCTGCCAACGGAAAGGATCTTGTTCTGAACACCGAGGATTCTGCACGCTCTCGCCTTTTCTTGCTCCCTGTCAATGCTGGTGATGATTTCAAGCCTAAGAACTTCACCGACGCCGGCTCGGTGGCTGCTTACTACGGTCTACCCAACGGAGACTACTTGGTTTCTGGCTCTGCTATCCATACTAGTCGCAATGTTTATACCGCCAATCCTAGCAAGGGTGTCACAGGTGTTGTCTTCTCTGCCAATGATGTTGACCCCGCGCTGAAGAACATGGGCCCATCGGATGCTGATGAGTTCTACTTCAAGGGCAGCTGGACAGATGTAAGTCTGCTATTTTCTCATGAGAATGAAGGGATATTAACTTTATAGATTCACGCGTGGATTGTCTACCCCGAGAACTTCGACAAGTCGAAGTCATACCCACTCCTGTTCTATATTCACGGTGGTCCTCAAGGCTCCTGGGGTGACTCCTGGAGCACTCGTTGGAACTACAAGGCCTTTGCCGACCAGGGATATGTGGTTGTTGCGCCCAACCCAACTGGTAGCACTGGATTTGGCGATAAGCTCACGGATGAGATCGCGAACAACTGGGGTATGTCATTGTCATCAGTCACTCCTATTATTACCTTCTAACAATTAACAGGAAGCTATCCTTATGTCGACTTGGTTAAATGCTGGGAGCATGTTCGGGACAACTTCGACTTCATCGATACCGATCGCGGTGTGGCAGCTGGCGCCAGCTACGGTGGTTTCATGATCAACTGGATCCAGGGTAATCCCCTAGGTCGCAAATTCAAGGCGCTGGCCAGCCACGACGGCACATTTGTGGCCGATGCAAAGGTCTCGACCGAGGAGCTGTGGTTCATGGAGCATGAGGTATGTATACCTTTCCGTGGTATTTGCTCAACTTGTATATTAACCCTTACACAGTTCAACGGCACCTTCTGGGACAATCGAGACAACTATCGTCGTTGGGATCCATCGGCTCCAGAGCACATTAAGCAGTTCTCTACCCCGCAGCTCATCATTCACAGTGATTTGGATTACCGACTTCCCATCTCTGAGGGCTTGGCGCTTTTCAATGTCCTGCAAGAACGCGGTGTTCCAAGCCGACTGCTCAATTTCCCTGATGAAAACCACTGGTAAGTGCAGTTACTGCTTTTGGATGTGAATGCATCATCAGGGGGTCAATAAAGCTAACTTGACACTAAAATAGGGTCGTCAACAAGGAAAACAGTCTTGTCTGGCATCAACAGGTCCTAGGGTGGCTCAACAAGTACGCTGGTATCGACACCCCTGGCTCTGTCAGTCTGGATGATACTACAATCCCTGTTGTGGATTATAATCCTTAGTATACAGGACTACATAATTTATTACAAACGAGGGTCTGCATGTCATGTCTCAGACAGTTTGTTTCAAAGGGACTTGTCCTCTTGGTAAATATTGCTTTATTCACGCCGTGTCCAACTCTTGTACATGAACAATGGAATAATCATTATATAATGACCTTTTCTTATATGCTTTATGTGCTTTGTGTAATACGACCTGTCTTATGGAATCTGGCGGGTTATCAACGGCGCATATAAAAAGTTGCTGGTTGCAAACGGGTTCCATCAACCTCCTTCCCCCATCCTCTTTCTCACCTCAAATTTTGTCTTCTCTTCCGCCTTTCGATTTCATAAACCTCGTCATCAAAATCCATCATGCCTGCCAAATCTCCCTCTAGTAAGGGCGCCAAGAAAGGTATGTCTTATACTTTGTCCTCTCGTCTATCATCCTCGCCTATCAGAAAGAGGCAAAGACGTATACAGCCAGCCATCCTAGAGCAAGTTAACAGCAGCCCCCAAGGAACCTCCAAGACTGAATCGTCTGCTCCAAGTGAGTATTGGAATTTACTAACAGAGCCTCGACCGGCTTTCTTCCAGGGCGTTACACAATCTACTCATTCTAACCACTACTCCTGTGCAGAGATCAAAACTGAGATGTCTTCTCCCACTCACAGTTCCGTCGCCAATGGTGACAACGAGAGTGAGTACAGTTTTGGCTTGCCTCCTGCTCCAGACCCAATCTTAGCCCCATTCCCATGTACCGAGGATGATCTTATCCTATGTCATGCTCCCACTACTGACCCCACTACCTACCCTATCTTTGTTTCCCGAAATGGACGCTGGGGCCGGTATTATCTTCCCTCTAATAACAGGACTATAGAGTCTTCCGCTTCTAGTACCAACAATACGGCCAACGGAAATGGCAATAATGCAAAGAGTGAGTTTGCCGGTCTCAGTCTTTTCTTGAACCAATTTCCCTGTTCCCAGGACGATATGACCTTGGATCCCTGTCCCAATTCTGGCCCCAATCCCACCTTTTCTTCTCAAAACGGACGTTGGGAATGGATGTTTCTCCCTTCTAACACCGGTATAGAGTCTTCCCCTCCCAAGGCCACGGTGGAAGACATGCCTGAGGCCAATCCAAACATGCAACGATCAGACAGCCCCCTCTCTACCATTGACCTAGATGCCTTCCTATTCCCATTCCACATCCTCGAGAACGACGATGATCACCCCCCAGTGCCCTCGATAGTTGATGACGTAGCCGGGCAAGCCAAGACCGTGAAGCATGTGAAATTTTTCATGGATACTACTCACGATAAGCACTTCGTCCCCATCGAAGTCACCCATCTCATTGGCCATGCGAACTGGGAACAATGGTTGAGCTCCATGCGCCTGCTTTTCCGCCAGCACTCGGTGTGGTCTGTTGTGACCTCGGAGATTCAGCCACTACCTCCTTCCCACAATCTGTACCTATGGTATGAACGCATGTGTGATTGTGCAATCGGCCTTATCTACGCCAACGTCTCCGAGGAGATCCGGAAATCCGCTTGTTTCATAAACATCGCGTGCGACGATGATCCTGAGGTTTTGATCTCTCATCTCTACGTCCACTATTCCTCGCCTGACTCGGATGACGTTCATTCGGAGGATGAACTGGATTAGATGGTCTATGCCTGGAGTTTGGCAAGGATTTGCGTGTTGTGGGGAGTATGCACTGCAATACGTACATTGTCCTGGGATTCCCTAATGGATCTCTTGCCCGTCGCACCCGGACCGGATCTTTTGATATCTGATCTATGGTGCTCTATTGGCATGTAATATGCAGTTTCTAGCTTTTGTTCAGTCTGAACAAATTGTTTTATGGTTTTCTTATGTATCTACCCTTGGCAGCAATATTCTTCTGCCATCCATATCCATAGGTTGCGAATGAAACGAAATTTGTAACAAGCCCGAAGGTTTCTTCAATCACAATAGGATTATGATGTGAAGAATAAGAGAAACCTCCCCATAAAATCTTTCAAGCGTCCCTTCCTTGAAGGCGCTCTATTATGCTCCCGTGTCTCTTCGGTGTTTTCTATGTCTTTCCAATGTATCTAGCGTTTTCCAGCAAGGCAAATAACTCAAACCTGACAGTATATTCCAACATCATACTATGTAGTGATATGTATATCTATGGCCATCATAGCATGAAGTGACCCCAAACTCGATCTATAACCCGTTCAAGTTCTTCTGTGCCGTAATAACATCCCCCTTATCCACAAAGTCCGCCAGCAACACATTAGGCACACGCCCATGCAACCCAGCACATAGCGCCGCCTGAGCACCAATACTACCAGGCCCCGTCGCAGCATTAGTAGTGTCCGCCAGATGTCGGGCCGGAACCTTTATACCAAAAACCTCGACATTAAGGAAGTGATTGGCAATGCCCATACGACCCGTAGCGGCAACGCCAGACGGCCGATCGATACTGCAATCCGGGAAATTGGGGTCCGTAACACCGTAGGTTGTCTCGAAGTAGTAAGCAAACTCATCTTGGATGTAGTTCACTTTTGTAGTGTCAGCACCGTAGTCTAAATACGTTAGTTTCTATATATAGGTCTTGTGGTTGCTGCTTCTACCCAGGAATACGACCAATCTCTTTCCGCTGGAGATCATATCACCCAGTGTGGGCCAGTCTGCAATTGGCAATGGACTTTTGGAGGGCACGTAGCCATATTTCGATATCCCGCTTCTGGAGAAAGTGTCTCCGAATTCGGTGGCTGATACGGAGTCTCCGTTCGTCAAGAGAAGGGTGACGACTTCGTTTGGGTTTGCATCCAGCCAGTCTTTAACAGTCGTCAGGAATGATTCAAGAGGTCCTGCATCTTCGAGTAGACATGATGTATGGCATAGCTCTATAACGCTGTTGTCAATGACGGAACGGTGTGTTTGTCCTTGCAGGTATCGGATTCCCATGTCGAGTTGGGCTTTTATATCGATGTTTTGGTTCTGCTGTGGTAACGGTCCGACGAAGGGCGAGTCATGGGCGCCTATGAACGTGATGTTTGAGTAGGGCCGGGTGCAGTACTCTGAATGGTTATTGCAGGTCGCAGCTAGGGTTGACATTGATGGAGTGGTCGATGATATAGATGCCGAGGACGGCGATGCTCGCGGTATAAGCGTTCCTGACCCTGATCCTGCGAGAACAGGCGGGAGAAGCAGAAGAGCGCTCAGCATTGCGCTTGTTAGTCTCTGAATTTGGGCCATTTCTAAGTCGTTTTTGCCTATACTTAGTTCTGAGCAAGGCGCAAATGGGCGCCTGTTTCGCCTTTTATGCTTCGAGATTTCGTTCTCCTCGTTGCGGATATCGTGATAGATATCTGCTGTCCCTGTCACGCAGGAGAAACAGCTGCCCCCAGCAATAGTAATATCAGCTGCCCCCGCAGGGGTGCACATGCTGATTCCTGCATTCCCGAGGTCAACATCTTGGTCTATGACCAGACGAGAAGCTCAAAGAAAATAAAATTGAAACTGACCATAATCATGTCTACTATGAGATATAACATTAGTTCGTTATACCCATCGTGATGGAACATAATGATGAGTGGAATATCGCAGTCTCCTCGTGACCGCGGCCATGCACCAATAGCAGGTCTCGCGGATGATCGTCCTTCGTTTTTCCGGCTGTATGCCCAGATAATTTAATCCCCAAGGACTTTCTCTGTACTTTCAAGGAATTTTAGATGATAGAGCTGAGGTGACGCATTAGATGCTGGTACTGGCGTGCTATGTAAGTAAGTGTCGGGGTTCAGTTCGGTAGGGCCGAAGAACATTGAAAAGTGGACATGGATGGTCTATTATTTTCTAGTCCAGTAGACTTTAATGTTGCCACGGGACATTATGAAAAGGATGCATCCTCTTCAGTTCTGTTCACGTTTTCGATAGGTTGGTATTCTGCTCAGAGATCAGCTACAGTCATGCACATGGATGATGCTTGAATCAGACTAGATTCACATAAATTAAGCAACCGAGACATATGAAGGTAATATCGAAGCTGATAGTAGTTAACATAGGCAAGTGATAAGCAATTCATGCCGTGTAGCCATGAGCAAATATGCTACATAATATATAATACCTCGTCACATATCAACATTACTCTTAATTTTTCGTAGACCCTAAGATAACTTTAGAATTACCGAGTTTCTCTATCTCTTATGTTTATTTTTACCATAGTCATCTTGCATTTTCTGCAAAGGTGCACTTTTGATCTAAGGCTATCATGCAAGCCATGGCAGGTACTGAAAAGCCACACACACAGTCTTTGAGGCGTCCAATGTTCATTGCCAAATCAAGCTTCTTGCCTTTCATGGTTACATGACCTTATGCTTTATATCATATTACTACGTTGATCTTGGTAGTTATAGTTGAGAATCGCCGATTAAAGTGATGTCACACAAAATCAGGTATTATCTTCATGCGGGTATTCTGCGCAGAGAACCGATTAGGGTTCAGTGCGATATAAGTGATCTCAACATACAAACCAGACAATAGCAATGATGCATAATTATGGACTATGATTCGGTGTCTCGATACATCCTGTTCATCGACCTTGGGGTCACACAGAAGTGGACTATCATTTACTTGCAGGAGAAGAGTCGCACAGAGAATGGATAGACCATCGAGTACGTATTGTCGAGTTATCAAATGTTAAGTCCGAATTCCAAGTCAAGTTTTTGAAACTATTTAAGTAGACTGAGATCATCCTTTTTATCATTGTGATTTATCATTACAATTTGACATAGCCTCAAACTCTGTATATTCAAATCTCGCAAACATGTTCCAACCCTACAATCTTACGCCATTGGACAATTTTTCGCCTCCGGGGCACTTTACTGTATCTCTCGAATTTAGTTTGATTGACAAGAATCATGCGCAAGTCCTTCAGCGAATGGAGGATGCGATTGCTCGTGTGGCCTCCATATTTCCCTTCCTGACTGGGATGTTGATACCATCTACCCTGCGAGACGGTATAAGCAACGCACTTCAGGTGCGACCTTCTACTGCTGCCGAGCTTGAAAAATACCCTATTCTGGTCATTAAACACCATCCAGAGCCCACTGCTCTCAACGTGGACGGGAAGTTCAACCCTGCCTTGTTGCCTTTCCCAATCATCTACCCACCACACAATCCTTCACCCGTGTTACGCGTAAAGGCCAACGTGATTGGAGACGAGTTACTCCTAGTTGTATCCTTTGACCACCGAGTAATCGACGGGTCCGGGACCTTCCGTTTGATCGCTATTTTCAATGCGTTTTGCTGTGATCTGGATTCCCAGGGGCCATTCCCAAACGCACAGATGCAAGAAGAAACAAGGAAGCACATCGAGAAAGTTGCATTTACAGCCACACCGAAGGATCTTATATGGACAACCTTTCCTTCCCAAGCAGGCGAAGAAGAAATATCCATGGATTCTAGTCAAGTGCCCGTCACTTTTCCTCATCTACTCGATGCCGAAAAGATCAAAATGTTGCACGAGGCCTGCAATTCAGCCCTGCAGTCTGTTCCCGAGAAATACAGGAAGGATATCCCCGGGCTGTCCCTTTCGCCGGATCTGATCGTCATCGCGCTGGTGAGCATATGTAGCAGTCGCGCCCGCTTGCAGGCTTTCCCCGATAAAAAGGAACTCTCAGCAGCGATGTTTATGGTGGAAAATCTCCGAAAGCCACTCGATTTGCATCGAGGATATATCGGCAATACCATTGTGGGAAACCAAAGTTCGTCTGATGGCTCTGCGCCTCCTCCCCCTGAAGTCTTGCAAAACATTCATGTGCCAGAGTCTCTCAGTTCGGTGGGACCAGAAGATATCTGGCGGCTCTGTAACGTAGCCCAGACTCTTCAGGAAAACTCCGGACGTCTGGACAAAGAGTATGCAGAGGGCATGCTCGCAACAATGGCCCGCGAACGTGATTGGGCTTCGTTCCGACCCGGTTGGGGGGTGGATTTCCTTGTCTCTAACATCAAATCGGCAAAGCCTTATTCCAAGAACTTTGGGCCACTTGGAGAACTTAAATTGTTCGATCTGTGTTATGATACAACTCCTGGCTATTGCTGGATAATGCCCAACCATCCATCAGATTCTTTGTCTCCAACCCCATGCTGGAGGTTGCGATGGATTTTGGAACGGGCCGCGACGGAGCGTTTGTCAAGCGATACCCTCTTGAAGTGGGCTTCGATTCCTACTATAGTCGGTAGAGATTCAGGTGTCTGGGTCAGATGACCTGTTATTTTTCGCCCGCTACATATATTAGTTAGATTGTGACGAAACGCAACCATATTATGCCATAATGCCGGTATTTGCTTTGTCGGTTTGAAGAATATATACTTTGCTCGAGCATCTATGCGGGAGTCACTCATGGGGGAATTCGTGTGTAAGATCTAAGGGAATAGTTAGGATGAATTTGGAAGTGGGAAATAGGAATACAAGGTATAGTATGAAAGTTGAGTTTATAAATAGATTGTCAACACCAGCCCCCCCCTGTATCACACACCCTCTCCGCCTCGCCTGCAAGTTAAGGTAACATCTACACCGTAGTGTCCAAGTTTACAGTCTCTTCTTTTATTGCGTCAGCAAATAAACGTCCAGAGCAGCCCTCTACACAAGTTTCTGCAAGTGAAACTTTTTCTCTGCACTAGTCGCTTTCATCAAACGCACAAGTTGATTACAAAATATCGTAAGGAGAAGATTTATCTGACATATCTAAGCCGCCTTTAACGTTAATCTAGATCGAAATGTGCAAATCACTGTATATTCAATACACGTGTGGCTGCAAGCAGGAGATGGAGTTCATTCAGTGCGCAGAGCGCGAGGGGACGAATGTCAGATGCAATACAATCAACAAAGAACGGGGTAAAAACTCGGAAAATCACTGTCCACGGCATCTGGTCTGGCCGGACGAGGCGAAATTGACGAATCAAGTGGGACAAATCAAGCAATAAGCACCACCTGTGATCTGTGAAGCTCGTTGGCATGAAATATGTCTTGTTTTGGGGATCCTCTATTCCAATTAAATAGAGCGAATGATGCTATGTTGTCATTCTCTTAGTTGAAAGTAGCCTCCTCTTTGAGCAGCCACAGGCAGCTCGGGTGGCCGGTTTTTGCCCTCGTCACTCGATCTCCATAAGAGCTGTGCTTGTTCACACCACCGGAAATGGTCTAGGAAGCCGTCAAGTGAGTACACCTTGTCTCGAGCCTTGTATCCCCAGTCCGTTTCCCTAGTGCCGATAATACCTTTGTCAAGAGCAAGTTGACACCCAGCACACGAAATTCCGTGTTCCACTACTCCAGTCTGTTTGTCGTAATAAGGAAGCGCACATGACCCCATAGAGTTGAGCTTTCTAGTTCGGTATGAGCTCATTGGTTGGCCTTGCGGAAGTGGAATTGGTTGCTGTCTGCAAACCAGACCAATTTGGTGAAGAGAAATGAGGGTAATGCGGAAATTTTGTGTGGATTCCTTCATCGAGTATACCCCAGGCAAGGACTTGAATGATCTTATTTGGGTTAGTTGGGCTTTAGTGATATTGCATTGTTTTCGGACTGCAGCGAGAGTCTGCATTTGCGTTTCCCAAGACTTCTGGATGCATTCAAAACAGCATCGTTTCCAGACAATGAGGGATACAAATCCGCCGAATTCGCCGCAAAAGCTGCATGCCTTGGTACATAACGCGTCGTAAAAGTCGAGTAGAGAAACATCGACGGCAAGTCGAGTTCGTAACAAGGCGCGGAAGAGGTTTAGTCCATGCGAGGCAACGCTCTGATACTCACTGAGGGAGTCCACCATCTGTCTTGATCTGAGATTTATCTGTCGAAATTTGAATAGAGAATGCATGTCCAGGCGGGTCAGTATGTCAAACAAGAGCTCGAGGGGTAGCTGGTTGAGGCAACCGATTCCAATGTTCGAAGTCCGCTGGAAGGGTGTTGCTATTGATGGGCGAATACCCATATGTTCACGAGGTGAGCACCAAATCACAGACATGGGGTAGTCTATGCGGTGGTAGGCGCTAGTTCGAACAATAGCGTCGGTTTGTGCTTCGTCGAGACAGTATTCAGTGGCGGAACGATAACCAGGGGGGGTAAGGGTAGCCATTCTCGAGCTCTTTACGGGGGTGAAGGGAGTAGACCTCGGTAAGAATTGCGTCTCTCTAGTGAGCTTCCCTGAACACTCCTTGAATCTCGATATTGTAATGGACGACGCGACTTTATCACGGACCTGGGGTGATTCTCTTAGATATCTTCAACGGCCCTGGGGAGCTTACGAAGTTGTGTGATCATCTCACTTGTTTAAGGTAGAAAGAAGATAGGGAGAAAGATATTTAAACCAGACAAATGTTGTAAATATTGTTCTAAATATTTGTATAGTGAAATGTACCTGGCAGCCACTGTGGCTGGTGTTCGGCCCCTAAGACGGCCCCGACCCAAAGTAACGGAGCTCTCAACTCTCATTCTCCACTGTTCATACCCCTCAAGCTTCAAGTTGACACTCCACGCCTTCACTCTATATTGTACTATTCTTGTAATTTATCTTCAATAACCTCAGTCTATCGTCATTCACACAACGCGCCATCGCTGATTCGGCCTCGTCCCCAACCTACATAACGGGGAGCAATGGTCATTCGGAGATCTCGCTCATGAGCTCGATGGCTGAGGGCAGTAAGGATTGGTCGCGCGAGGACGAGCTTGACCTGGGTCAGGAAGACGATTCCCGACAACCCGACCATGGCGCCCTTGACCAGACATTACCTTCCCCGCAGGCACCAGCGGAAGAGGAATTGGACACAATAGACGATGCGGAGGACCACGATTCCGAGAAGACAGCGGCACAGAATGATTTCAAATTCCCAGAAACCCCTCCGCAACAACACGCGGACTGGACCGCAACAGGAAGCGTGGATGGAACAGGGTCAAACCCCGACGATTCCCCATCGCTACATGTTAGTAATACAATTGGCGCATGATCTGGATAGCTAGCTGATTGATAACAGGGCTCTATCCCGTCCTCCCTGAGTAGCAGTGCTCTTGCGCTCCGCGGATCTCCGCGAGTCAGCCCAAGTCCGGCCCGTCGCCCCTTTGACCTTCGCTTCCAGTCCCGATTATCTTCGTCCCCGCAAAGTGTGTCTAGAGCCAGTTCGCCATTCCTAGCGCATCTTCACTCCCGACAATCTTCAATAACTAGCCAAGTCTCCCAGAACCCCGAGCCAGAGGCCGAACCGGTCCAGGGGCCTTGGGAGGTGGTGCGATGGACAAAGTTGCGAAAGATCACTGGGCAGGCGTTTTCGGAAATTGGGAAGCGCAATTTCGGACGGCCAACCTGCCTTGCTGTCTCTACATCTATTGTAATAGGTACATCCAAGGGTATTATTCTTGTGTTTGACTATCAGCAAAGCCTGAAGACTATTATCGGAACGGGCACACCAGGTTTGTCAAAAGAAGTCTACACTCTAATATATTGTACTGATGACCACCAGCTGTTGAATGCGGCGCTGTTACATCTCTAGCGCTCTCCGCGGATCATTCTACCGTTGCAGGAGGCCATGACTCGGGCGATATCTTTACCTGGGAGATATCGCGCTCAGCAAAGCCTTTCCTCCATATCCCGCCAATCCCCGTCAATCAAGTCGAGACTCGAACATCTGATGGCCATCTCTCAGGATCCGCGGTTATTCATATCGGGTTTCTTGGCACCCGACGAACCGCGCTGGTTTCGGCTGACACACGGGGCATGTCGTTCTCACACCTAGCAACAAGAGGAATGGGTGCAGTGGGGCGAACAGTCAAGACAACTCGAATCCTGGGTCGATATCCCCAGTCAACGGCAGAGATCAAGCGGCGGAAGCCTAGCTCTGTCCTTGCTTTCTCTCCTCTGCCGCTTGGCAACGTAGAGCAATCCACTGATTCTTTGGGCCTCGTTGCTATGCTGACGCCCTATCTTCTTGTTATTGTGTCTACCACGCCTGTGGCACAAACGCAACACAAAACACCGAGACCCAAAGAAGTTCCCGCTCACAGTGCTATGACCGGCGCTTTGGCATGGTTTCCAGCCATTCGACTAAAGGGCAAAGACACCCAGACCTCAAACACGAAGCTTGTCTACTGTTGGTCAAATGTGTTGACTGTACTTGAAGTCTCAGAGGCCGAGTCAGATGAGCCTGCAGACAAAGATAAACCTCCCAGCCTTGTCTTCAGAGCGCGCAGCAGATGGAGAGCAGATGAAGCCATTGTGGCTGTTCAGTGGCTTAGTCGCTCGGTACTCGCAGTGTTCACAATAACGCAGCGGCTACTGATCATCGAGGATTATTCCATGCATGTGACGGACTCGGTCGATCTAGCCAACAGACACATATATCACACTGATCTCTTCTCATCACAGCTTCATTCGCTAGTTGAACAACTTGACGAAGAGGACGAGTCTATGCACGGAGTAGTAGCAGATGCATTCCATATGAGCTTCCGTTCTTATAAAGGGCGTTTGTTTTTACTCGGTTATAACGAAGCCTTGGTGGGCAATCTATCAAATTGGGCCGATCGCTTACTAGCGCTTATGGAGGCCGGTGACTTCATTGGGGCCATTCGACTAGCAACCTCCTATTATACGGGAGAATCGGAAAAGTTGACGGTTGGGCTTCCGGAAGAGGATGTTTTGAGAAAGCCGATTGTGCAAGAAAAGCTTTTGGAGATGATCTCCGCATCCCTCAAGTATGCTTTTGGTCGAAACTCCGAAGCCAGCAACGGCCGACTTGAGAACCAGCAGCTAGAGGAGCTAGCAGAAGTTTCCATCGCGGCTTGTATCTATATGGCCGACGAAGAGTTCCTCTGGGAGGAAGTCTTCAACTGGTATGAGGAACAAGACTCTGCGGGTATTTTCTTAGATGCCCTCGAACCACGCATCGTTGATGGAACTCTGCGATCACTACCCCCCACCGCGGTCAAGGCCTTGATTAACCATTTCATTGGAACTCACTCGGCCGGTCGCTTAGAGGAGATCATCTGTCTTCTTGATACTACGACTATGGATATCGATCAGGTCACGACGCTGTGTAAGCAGCACAATCTTTACGACGCCTTTATATATGTATGGAATCGCTGTTTGATGGATTATGTGGGACCACTGGATGAGCTACTACATCTTATTCCCTCCCAATCCGGGCCCTTGGTCAACGGAGACTACGTGATTGAAATGAGACGGCAGAACAATGCGATGAAAATGTTTCCGTATTTGTCATTTATTCTGACAGGTCGCGTCTATCCCACCGGAGACGACATGGATGAGGCTGAAGCCACGCGAGCAAAAACAGACCTGTACCAATTCCTCTTCTCAGGACGTGGGTCCGGTACGGTGCCTGGAGATACCAACGAGGCAGACTCGTTCTCGCAACTTCGGGCCATGCTCAAGTTCGATGCTTCCAGCTTCATGAGCATGCTCAACGAGGCATTCGAGGACAGTTTCCTAAATGAGCCCGAGAGTGAGGATGTCTCCGCGTCAGGCATGTCGATCAATCGACAATACCTCATCAGCATTCTACTGCAAGTCATGAGTGACTCCTTTTTCACGCCTTTTGATACCATCTACCTGGATATGTTTGTTGCCCGCAATCTTCCCAAATATCCCCAGTATATTCTCCTTTCCGGCACAATCCTACACCAGGTTCTGGTCCGTGTATGCCAATATCCCGAGCAGGAAATGGCAGACGATTGTGAATTGAGTGCAGAGTATCTGCTGTCTTTTTACCACCCACCGGATATCCAGAGCATGATCCCCCTATTTAAAGAGGCACGCTTTTTCCGGATTCTCAAGTCGACCTACCGTTCAGAGAAGCAATATTCCCTGTTGGTTATGGCTTACCTAGAGGATCCCAATGACCGCGGCGCCATCTTCACCTGCCTACATAACTGCCTCCGGTCAGGCTCTGGGCTTGGCAAGAAACAGAGACGTGATGTAGTGGACGTAGTCAAGGAACATGCCCGGGAGATTGCTGAAATCGACGTGACGCACGCTGCACAGACGATGCAAGAGTTGGCTCCTGAAACACATTCTACGTTTTTGCGGGTTTTAGAAGATGATCCTCAGAAACAGTATCAGTACTTGCTAGTCCTGGTCGAGCCACAGGCTCTAACTGCGGACACTCAATCTTCGCCCAATGTTGAGAACTGGATGATCGAGCGCTACGTGCAGCTCTTGTGCAAATATAACCCTTCTCATGTCGCGGACTTCGTTGACGGATTGCGAGTCGGTGATATCCACCTGGATGAACTGCTCCCGTATATTGAGGAAAGTGGAGCCATCGATGCTGCCGTCATCCTCCTCGCCCGACAGGGCCAAGTCCGTGAAGCCCTTGACCGTCTTGTGGCACATCTGAGTACCCTCGAATCCGGTCTTGTAGGCATTCTCCAGAGCGTGCGCGAGAGCCCTGATTCAGCGACTACCGCCGAGGCAATCGATGACCTGATCGAGTCTTTAAACAAGTATGCCGGTGTCGGAACGTGGCTCTGCCAGGGCCAAAGCAAGACAATCAAGCAGGCACGCACAGGGAACGCCAATGGCAAACGCAACGCGCCAACCCTCGACCAGCCTCTAGCCTTCGACGAACTCCTCTGGCTCGACCACATCGAAGCCGTGGTCCGCATCGCAAGCAACGTCTTTGCCTTCATACAGGGAAACACCCAGATAACTCTCCCCGCCCAACCAACAACATCCCTCGCTGGCGAAAGCGGCCGCCTAACAACCTCCTTCCGCACCCTCGTCCAACAAGTCTTCACAGCCCTTCTCGCAAGCACAGTAAAAAGCAGCCCAGCCACAACCGAAAGAACAGACATGTCCTTCCTCCGCATCCTACGCGCATTCCTCACCCGCGCTGCAAGCTGGTCCCCCTCGCTCCTCGAGCTACGCGCTGTGCTAGCCTCCATCTTCTCCGCCTACTCCTACGAGAAATCCCTCCTAACTCTCGCAAATGGCATGCTAGACCGCGACCTCTTCATCCACGTCGACGAAGTCTCCCGTCTACGTCAGCAGGGCTGGCGACCCCGCGGTCACATCTGTGAGATCTGTCGCGGCCGCATCTGGGGCCCCAGCGTTGGCGACGCGCATTGGACCGCATGGGAAGCGCGACGGGCTGAAACTCACGCCCGCCGCATCGCGAGACGCAATGAGGATAGCTATAACCCGTCCGAGCGTGGGAAGGGCAAGGCTGCTGATGTCGGAGTCGGTCATCTGTCCCATCTGGATACGGCGCATGTGCATGTCCATGCTCATCGCGAGCATGGTGGTATGTCTGATGCGAATGCTGGCCATGATCACGATGACGACCAAGCAGAGGCTGGAGCTGGATCTAGCACGACTACAGTTGCCGATAGCATCCCGGAACCTGTTGTCGTTTTCGCTTGTCGACATCTCTACCATCGGCGGTGCGTGATGAATGCTGTCAGCGCGGGGCCACCTGCTGAAAGGTTTCGAGACCATATGCCTGACTGGTCAGGGGCTGAGTTGTTCTGTCCGATTTGTACATAGTTTTCTAGTGGGGATTATTTCCTTTGTGTCTAGGGATATTCCTTTGTTAATTTTTCTAGTTGCTTTTTTTTTAGGATCCCTAGATGAGACATTCGATTGTCTTGCATATAGACCATTCTTTTTCCTTTTAAACTATTCTTCAACTCTTAACTCTTAGCTACTGTAAAGTAGGGATTTTAAACCCAGATGTATCCCTGCCATACATTTCCCTATTCTCATACGTCTCCCGTGGGTACAGGTGATATCAAGTTCTCTTCAGTTGTCCAGCTCATTCTCCAAGACCGCTTGGCACAATCTGTACTCCCACCGAATAAGGATACTCCGGTTCTCGCGGACTGATATTCTGTGACTAAGTGTATTGTGTGATCGGATTTAGGTAGGGTCTGGTGTCTTTGCTTTTGCGGGTAGTGATCTACAGTAGGGATATGAAGTAGTTAAGTAATTATTTGCATGGATGTGATGGATGTAACGAGATGACAATGTCATTTTAGCGTATCACTTTTGGGTAGGATCTTCATGAGAACTGGTTTCACGATCACAAGGTACATCAGATCATGTACTGTTGCAGGTATATCTGTATGTCTCGGTACTTCTAGTCAAGTACCTTGGCAAAGAGAGATCTGGTGATCGGAAATGCCACGAGAGTTCGCCACGTTATTTTTCGACTTCATCGGATTGGAGATTCTATTCTTTTCAACAATCTTCTGACATTAGAGATGAAGAGAAAAAAAAAAAAAAAACAGATCCGAAGTCAAAAGAAATGAAATGCTTGAGAGATCTTCAATCGTAGCCTATCAGATTCCTGTACTTCTTCTTCTATAAACGAATGTTAGCGATAAATACTCTGATTGGTCTTAGATGTGTTACTTAGTTTCATCTTCGAAACATCAATGTCGGCGCTTATATCTTTATATCTTTAGACTACAATGTATGTCTATTGTCTATGTAGAAATGGAAATCAAGATCAGACTACACCAATCGGCATACAGTCGGAGATGTCAGACTCTATTCTACTAGAATGTTTCAACCCCTTTTGTTCTTTGGACTGTCTGGTGGATGTATCACGTTCAATTCTTTTTCTTTTTTTTTCCCTTTTTCGTTTGTCCCTTTTTTTTTCCATGAGGATGACACGTCCTGAATATAAAATTGACCGCGTCTCCCTTGTTTGTTGTCCAAGGCAATCTCTAGTCCTTCCTTTGTGCATTGCACCTATTGTCTCTCTATTCATCTGTATTCATTCTATTCCTATTGTCATTTACCTTTTCGGTCAATATCTGCCATACTAGACCATCTCCAGTCTTAAGAGACTCCCTCTCTCCAATTCCTCTTTTTCCCTGCAAATATCCTGCACCTATCCTGCAAAGATCCTACCATTTAAGCGCAATGCATTTTATCTCAACCCTCCTGCCCACCCTGGGCCTGCTAGCCCATGTCTCTTCCGCCGCATACACCTTGCGTGATGACTATGGCACCTCGGACTCGTTTTTCGACAGGTTCAAATTCTTCACCGTATGTCTATTGATCCCATATCCCATCGATAACACTAACCCAAGATATAGGACCGCGACCCAACCAATGGCTACGTGAGCTACGTTGACCGCAACACCGCCTCAGCCAACGGTCTCATCAACACAGGCAATGGCGTCTACATCGGTGTCGACCACTCCACCACCGCCACCAATCCAGGTCGCAAGAGTGTCCGCCTAGAAAGCACCACCACCTACCGACACGGTCTTGTCATTCTCGATCTGGCCCATATGCCTGGCAGTGTATGCGGCAGCTGGCCAGCCTTGTAAGAACCCATCACCCTTTTTATCCTCTTGACGATTAAACTAACCAATCCAGCTGGATGCTCGGTCCCAACTGGCCCAACAACGGCGAAATTGACATAATCGAAGGCGTAAACGAACAAACCCAAAACCAAGTAGCCCTGCACACCTCCAACGGCTGCACAATCAACAATGGCGGTTTCACCGGCGTCCTCGAAGCACCAAACTGCTACGTCCAAGCACCAAACCAATCCCCAAACAGCGGTTGCACAATCCGCAGCGAAAACACCCAGTCCTACGGCACGGGCTTTAACAACGTCGGCGGCGGTGTCTACGCAACAGAATGGACCGGGTCCGCTATCTCAGTTTGGTTCTTCCCTTCCTACGCCGTGCCTGGCGATATCACATCTGGAAATCCTAACCCCGGTGCGTGGGGAATGCCCATGGCTCGCTTTGCGGGTGGCTGCGATATCGATTCGAAATTCAATGATCTGCAGATAATCTTCGATATTACGTTCTGTGGAGACTGGGCGGGTTCCGTTTGGGGTTCGTCGAGTTGCGCCAGTCGCGCGGGCTCGTGTGTTGATTATGTGTCGCGGAATCCGGCTGCTTTCCAGGAGAGTTACTGGCGGGTGCGGTCGCTTAAGGTTTATCAGGATTTGAGTAGTCGGGGGGCTGAGACGGAGAGTGAGACTGAGGGTGCTGGGGATGGTGCTAAGGTGGGCGTTGAGGGTGAGATTGCTTGGGATCCGAAGTGGTTTGAGCCGCGTTCCCCCAGGACTTTGAAGCATCGTCGGGGTCATCATCGTGCTCGGCATGGACATGCTTAGATGATGGATGAATTGTTTTCATTGATGGGTTCGATCTTTACATTTGATTGTCATTTACCCTCGGTCTTTTCGTCTGACGGTCTTACTCGGATTCCTATGCCTGTGCTAGTCTAGGCTGTGGTGATGAGGGCGTTTGATACGCTTTACTCTTTATGAGTTTGCGGATATCCCTTTGATGTGAAATGAAATATGAGAAATGAAATTATCATTATGAGTATGGTTATTAGTAGATATTGGGACTGTATTGCTGACATCTGCGAGGACTATACAATGTAGACCATTTTATCCTATATATCATTTCACCGTCGTCAACCTTCTATTCTCTTTAGCTTGTGTGCAACAATGATGCTACTAGTTCACAACCAAACGTCTAACAGCCACAATAAACTCATCTCTTGTCATCTAGCTATGATCTAGATAGCTCTTGTCATATTCTTCCAACCTTGGAAGTCTCGGAGATTGTCAGCCACAAGTGTTTTCAGCTCCGGTCTAATTTCCAATATCTATGCGTTCTCTCCACCACTAAGCACCGATGTATTAAGTCAAATGGCCAGAGGGGTTCATATACTCCTAGCTAGTGGGTTCCTCGGCTTCTTCAGTTTACCTTGCGCAGCTACGAAAAAAGCTAGGTAGTACTAAGAATCGAATATGAGTGCTTAGTGTTTACAACCACATAGGCTCTAGTGTTTAACCAACTATAATGGGAAGTAGGCTAGTAGATCAACTATAAATACATACTCTAGAGTGAGAATAATTGGAGATGTAAAAACAAAGTTAATATAAAAGCAAAGAGCACGCGTGGACGGAAAAAACAAAGAGCACGGAAACGACGAACAGATCAACCAACCGGCTCTGGAGCAACACGCACGTTAGTAGCACCTGTAACACTCCGAATATCGTCGAAGATATCAGGCATCAGCATCATTGTCCCAGTTCCATGAGCTTCGTCACCACCTTTCAGAATCCCGACAAGTTCACCAGAAATGGTGTACACCCACGACCCTGAATCACCCTGCTCTGCAAAATCACCGTCTCCATTGCTAGCAATCTTATGTTCCCATGTGGGAACAACTATAGTCTGCCCGTCGTCACCTTTGGTCTGCGTGAACGTAACGCATTCTAGCTCACTATAGGTCCCAGTTGTTATCTGGCTAGAGCGACCAGACTTTTGGAGCTCGAGACCGAAGAAGGGTTCAGTGATTGGTTGGCCGAATGCTCCAGAAAACTGAACGTTGTTTCCATAAGGGAAAGGCTGGAAACAGTCACATATTAGCTATGTGCAAAACACATACAGGTTACAACTTACCCTATTACCGGAGATGCAATCGCCATGCTGCTGTGGTTGTAGGCGTGCAGGGTTGATTTCAACGAGTGCCCAATCAATAGAAACCAGACGCGTTTCTTTTTCGCTTTGCTTGTTCAACCTCTCCATATTCCGTATTCGGTTCATGCCACTTCCGGCATACACATAACCTAGGACATGGTTGCCGCTATCACGCATTGTGATAAATGGGCTACACGCATCCTCGGTTGCCTTGATGCGTCGGAGTATTGCCTCGTATTTGGCCTTCGCTGATTCCGATAGCCATCCATCTTCACCCTTGTTGATCTCGTTCTCATAATTCAGAAACTGTTGTGTCCTCATTCCTGTGACGATAGAACGTCTTCGGTCAATGGTACTGTTCAAGTCTTGCAGGGAAGGGTGATCAACGCGTAGGATATGGCTAGAAAGATGGGGGAATGATGTGGGGTCTCGAGGATCTAGCGGATGAAACCCCCAGTGCTCGATTGCTAGATTAAATCTATTAGCTTGAGTGTACAATAGTGAGGGCAATACGGTACCTTTGAGAGCATCTGGAATCTCATTTAGCCGTTTGATGTCACGGTGGTTTTCTGAAGGCCAGACAGCATGGAAGCATGTGAGGGCGTAGGTACGCCACTGATGGTCAAGCTGAACTTGGACAAGACCACCAAGGGTTGAACTTCCTACAGAACATTCATGCATACCTAGGCTGACACCAGGGAGAATCGTCCCCGCACAAGCTTCTACAGGCACAGGGGGGTTTCCCATGAACGGCCTGCTTGTATTTCTCCGGAACAGGACATCCACATCTATCTGATCAAAAAGTCCGAGGATTATATTTATATACCGGGCTACTGCGATAAAGGAGTACGTGCTTGTTTCAAGAACTTGAACGACGACGGTGACGGGGTTCTTCTCTCTCGTTGGATCTGTGCCGTATCTCCAACACTCCAATGCGGTCCACTCGCGGGTATCACAATGAGAGACAATGCACTGTGCAATCGATGGCCACTTGGGAAAAATTGGATGTGTCCTGTTCACGGGGTAACAGTAAATCCCAGTGCAGAGTTTTTGTTCAATAAGCTCAACCGAGATATCTGGAGTGTCCCTCAGAAGCACCGAATGGATTTGTCGCACAGCGCGATACCAGATGTCTGGATTTGGCTGGTCTGGCATTATCGTAAGGATCGTGAATGTTGGCTCGGACTCTGGGTTGACCTTTGATAGGCGCCCGACCAGCTGGACGGAAATTAATTCCAATGAAAGCTGTTGAAGGATGTATATTGCTTGTTCTTCGACCTTTTGCGAGACTTGCTGGATTTTAGAGGGCATATAGGTTGTGACGCGAGCGGGGAGTGAGCATAGAGTCGGACCTCCAACTCGGTGGGATGACTTAAAAAAGCCGTGGGTGTCCATAGATGTTGGACCACTGAATGACGATGAGGTCTGTGACGATGAACAAAAGTTTAGTGCATGAGCACTGGCCTTTAAAAAGGCAGAGGAAATGCTGAATGAGGACATTCTGTGTCATGAAAAGAGATGCAAAGTGAGGGGTTTTGAAGGTGAGATGAATAGGGTGATGCAACAGAGAGGAGATAGAGAGAGAGAAGTCTGGTTACTGGGCATCCTAAATAGGCGTCGGGGCAAGATGTTCACAGGTTAGAACTTGTTTGAGTCAACATTAGGTGCGATTTCCTATTTGAGACGCGGCTCATCATCAACCTCTTTTCAGTAGTCCTTTTAATGATCTTTTTAATGGTCATTTCAGTGGTTTCCTCAGTGGTCATTCAGATATTCTCTAGATACTATTCTTTAGAGGTCCTTGTGCAAGATATCTTTCCCCCTTTTAAGTTTTATAAGGTAGATGGCCGAAAATAGACGAAAATAGGGAATTAGTGTAACATTAGTGTATCTAGCCGTATGAAATGGATTCCCACATTACAAGTGATACTGTAGGACCGATCTGTTATAGCGCACTAGCGGTTAGAGACTGCCGTATCTCGTACATCTGAATGCACTACATAGTAGGTATTTTCCCATACTTATTTCATACATCATATGATCTCCCGTACTATAGCGCTATCTAAGTATTCTTTGGCATGAACTTCCGATTCAGTCAAAATTGGTTCTAGAAAATCTGTAATATGAAGTTCGTTATCTCTTACCTACCTAGCGGAACTGGATAGCCCAGTCAGAAAGATGCATCTATATGACAGCTAGCGGCCTGATACTGGATGGAGAGGAGAATTTGATTCATGCGTTCAGTAAAGACAATACCTAAACGAAGAGGGGAGTTTTAGGACGTAATATCCAATAGAAATGACAACAACATTTGGCTTTCTTCGCTGGTATACCTCCAGTAAAGTCCTCAATCACGTCTTCAAAATCTGAAGACTAATAATAGAAAAATTCATGGGTGCTGATCTGCTTTCCGTTGTTGTCGTATCTCCTCGGAATTACAAGCGAGACACCATCGATGCCTCGAGGCTCGTAGTCCAGATTCCGGGCAGCGTATATAAGAACCGCCAATCCGAACTGCTCCTTAAGCCAACATGCAACCATATCCATACCCGCAACAGCACCAGCTCCAGTCCATATATTCCCGTCGACGACCCATTTCCCCTCCTTAGTCCAGTTGACAGCAGGATAATTATCTTTCGCCCATTTATACCCCGAGTGGTTGATAGTTGCATTCTTCCCATCTAGGAGCCCCGTAGACGCAAGTACAGCTGAGCCAGTACAAGTCGTAAAAAGCAACTTCCCAGCACCGATGTGTCGACGGATGAGATCGGTGTATTTCGGGTGCAGCTTGAAGCCGTTAGGATTCGGGCCCCCTAGCAAGATGATATCGAGCTCGGGACACTCGTCCACCGTTGTAGTCGGGGTGAGGTTAATGGCACTGGTGAATAGGTGGAAGGGCTCTTTCGTGATTCCAACGTGATGGAAAACGAAGTCTGGGGCCCGAGAGATCACATCGTCATCGATGGGGCCAAACATTTTGGATACTTCTAAGAACCCGGAATTGGCGGATTGAAGGAGATCAATTGGGCCGACAACGTCAATAGCCTGGTAGTCATAGACCAAAATACCGATGTGAATTGGCGCCATTGGAGATGCAGACAAGGATGTGAGTTAAGAAACAAAATGCGAATGATCGTATGCTTTGTAGATTTTGAATTAGATTTTGGGATTTGTTACACTCTTAAGTAGAAGAAGTTACGAATGTGCTCAAATCCCTCAACTCCATAACTTCAGAACCCGAAAGTCCGAAGCCGAGACAAACTATATCTAACGCTCTTTTGGGAAAACTAGCCATTTTGAGTCACTCATCGTATGTTCAGCAAAACTTTATGTATACTGCAAATCCCGGTTTTGAATCTTACCGTACGGTAACAAAACCAGGCTACTCCGTACTTTTAAGGTTCTTAGCGGGGCTCTGCCGCTCGATATAAAGTTAAATTTGTGAGTCTAGCCGTTTCAGGATAAACAATCGCATCGATGGAAACTTCCCGTAAATTTCATTGCCTAAAAGAACTCCTTAGATGAGAACGACATACCTATAATCGTAACACAACCCCAACGTCCGTAATTTGCAATTTTTTTATCTCGAAGCTAACACCCGATAGGTTGCAAAATGTTTTATTCGGTACAAATCAGGTAGTAGGTCAGATTATCAAATCTCTTTCCCATCAGGAACGGGACTAATAGAAAAATTCCAAGCTTTTCGGGTCTACGTGAGCCATGGAATACTTAGAGAGACCCACGCCCTATAAATAAATGATTGCTCAGACGATCAGTAGTCTAGTAATGTTGGCAAGTTGGATACTGTCGTTATTCGATATATTAGTAGTAGCTAGGCGTACTTAGGCCTAATGAGTTTGAGTCACTGTCAATCTAGAGCTTGATAGTGTAAGTTTAGGGCTCGAGTATAGTGTTCTATAGCTCATATGCGTTCCGTAGAAAACCCTGGGTTGTCGATTGGTTTCTTTGGTTAGCAAATGGTGTGGGTACTCTGGAGTTGAGCATATTTGAAAAGTGAGCGAGAGTTTCAATGACATTAGTGGTCCATCCGTTGATTATCCTGGTAAATTCAGGCAATAGCTTGGCTAGAGTAAATCGTCTGCGCAGCTGAGCCAATGCTAGAGAGGGGGAAGACCGTGAGAGAGAGGGCTACTAGAACAACGAGCTTGTATATTCCTCTTTTTGAGAAAGCCACTGTGGTATTTTATCTGGAGATGAGGTTCTGCAAGTTCAACGATGATGGGACATTATTTAGTGACTGATCATCATTGAACAATTGTTGAAGGATAGCGGCTGTGTATTAACGTTTGAGCGGCACGTCTAGTTCAAAGATGAATCTGAAGTTTGGAAGACCCCTTTTCCGATAATGTTCAACTTATTACCACGTTCCTGAAGGCGCGTGATCCATTTCGCCCCAGAAGGTTTTCCCGATATATCTCCATTCGCCTAGTATCCAGCCATAGAAACCATACGGGTCTTGCGGTGGCCTTTGATACTACTGCCGTCGTAATTGCAGAGCATTAAGCAGTTGCCTAGTCTGCATTTGTCCGAACTTTTGCCAGCCTACGTGGGTCACATTTGTATGAATGAATCTGCATTAGGATACAGATAGTCTGCTTGAAACACGCCAGAATTGGTTGAGTTCAAGACATGGCGAATGGTATCAAATCATACGAAGGTAGTTGCCATCTTGCTGATTATTTATAGATAAAATTGTTACAGAACTGCTCCGCATATGTTGTAATGAGCCAAATGGGCATGCTCATATAGAGAGCCAGCGTGCGGTACTCAGAAGACATAAAGAACATCCTCATATCGCTTGAATCCCACAAGGAATTCTAGCTCATACTTCTCAATCTTTTACAGTTCGATTTCAAACTTCACCTTGGAGATGAGCAACCCAGTCGAAGTGCGCTCTATTGGCGGAATTGCCGGGTTGGCCGCCCATTACCTCCGTCTTTTGAGGCATGACATTCCTCCATTTTTACTATCTTTTTTCTACCTGCTTTGCACAGGTTCCGTGTTTTTTGACGTTATCCATCATATGCTGCACCATTGCAACAAATCTTCTCACCCTCTTTTCCAGCGCCTAGCAAGCGTCCACCATTTCCACCACCTCTACTTCACACGACACATGGACTTCGACAAAAAGTATCTTCAGCAAAATCGATTCCAAGCCTTGCCTCTTGAGCTAGCACTCCAAATCATTGGAACCGCGCTAGGTTATATCTTCGCCAGCCTTGTGACGCCGAACGGTCTCGTGTGGTTCACGAGAAATCACCTTTGGTATACGATTGGATTCCAGATCCTAAGGACTACTTTTGTCATCCTTATAAGCGGCCGCGACTCGAACCATCTCATCTACAAAACCGCCCCGAAGGACATCAACTGGATATTCGTGGGCCCAGAGTTTCACGCTCTCCATCATGTCTACCCGGATCGTTATATGGGTTCGTTCGTTAAAGTCTTCGACTGGATCTGGGGCACCGCATACTCCTTCAGACGTAAGCGCTTTACGATAATCGGAGGGAGCCAAGCATTCAGCAAAGCTATTATCGCACAGCTCGAGTGTGAACAAGGGATAGCCTGCATTCGCAAGTTGAAATTGGGAACAGATTGGGATCATGATCAATTTGAAAAATTGATCCCGATTCTTTCAGACACCGACATCTTAATCCTTGGTTATGGCTCTGATGACCAGGACGAAGTTGAATCAAATTGCAAGTCAGCTACCCGACTTGTCAAGTCATTCAAGAAATATAGAGCGATCAATCCCGCCTGCCCGGCGCTTCCCGAGGTATGGTATGTTGGTAGCGAGAATGAGTTCTGTCAACCTTGGGAGGAACGAAGGTCATTCTTGTCGCACGCTCGTTCCTTTTTTGATGACCCTGATATAATTTACCGCCATGTTGTCTTGCCCTGTGCTTCATCTTTAGAAACCGGTGCATTCGATGCAGACTGGGCAGCAAAATGTGCAATGTGGTGGATTCGACGAGGTGCGAGATATATTCCCGTCAAGTTTACGGGATCTTCGTGTTTAAACTATTTCAAGTTTATGTATCGCATTCCTCATGCGAATGATGTGGACTAAATGTAAATAACTGACTCCCTCGGTCATGGGGTTACAGATATTGATCAATGAGTGGATGGAATGGGAACTTGGTTGTACATTAAATGCATCTTAGCTATAGCATGTGAAGGTTATATAGAGATCTGCCTGAGAAGAAGCTAGCTTTCTTGAATTCGGCTTCTTTGGTATTCTTCAGCTAGTAGTGATTGTTGGAAGGCAAGCATCTTCTTTATATCCTATAGTCCATCTACTCTTCAATTATTTCTTAGCCACACTTAAATCCATCGTTCCCCAAGTGACAAATAGAACAGCTAGGGTCCACGGGTGCACGTGCATCTCTTCCGAGGTCGGGCGGGATACCGAGCCAAGCAGTTTCATATCCCTCGGACATCCCACCCGCGGGGATCAATTAGCAATCAACAAGAGGGATACTCCGAGATGCCGGCTATTTTTATATTTTCCATGCGCTTTTGTAAACTTTCGTTAGTTAACCAATAATAATAGAACAAACCCCATTTTTTTAGGTACAGTAAAACCTAGTTATAACGATATAATACAGGCATAACAAAATATCGTTATACAACATACCCAGGTGTTCGTTAAACCGAGGTGCCATATATAAAATATATATTTCTGGTTTATATACAAATCTAGGTACCAAAACAGCTCCTAAAATCGATCTGCTTCTCTAACACTAATTATTTACTTGCATTAACCTTTTCTACTATTATACGCACTAATTAATTATTGTAGAGCCACTTTCTTAGAGGTTAGGATCGGCTGGGCTGGGTATCTAGTTAGGATCAATTGGCGAGAAATTTTCATTGGTTGGAGGCATGCAAAGGTCACGTGACTCGATAAGAAGGCATCTTATTAGCTGAAAATGCTTAGTAAAGCGCTGGATATAACGATCTTTTGCGTGGGAGGGTATATGAATTTACCATATTCGTAGAAAGCGGGTATTAACGATATTTGTATGGCGGATCAATTCAAGCACCGGATTCTAATCGGTATAGCCGGGTAATCGTTTTATCCGGTATCGTTATAACTAGGTTTTACTGTACATAGGTACCTATACGTACTTGATTTCCTCTGCCGGGTGGGGCTTTCCTATCTTAGCTGCCGCCGCTTTTATGAGGGCGCTCAGAGTCAGGCTTACTGAGTAGATTTCAGTCCGAGCTCAGACTCACTGAGCCGCTCAGACCAGTCACGTGATAAATTGGTGATCTCTAATGAACGCTCAGTGAGTCTGATTGGGTGCCCACGAGTCACTGATCGCTCTCTGATTACTTAGAGACTACTCAGAGGCATCTATTGAGCACTCGGTCTACCCTCAGACTATGCCTAAATAAGCACCTTGCCCCACAATACTATCTGTCGAATGAAGGTGGACTAAAGATGACTTGATACTAGTGCCTACTGTACGCAGTACCAGAGCAAAAAGTAAAGTGAGTATGTATTTCAAAGAGCGTGAAGCGCTCACTATTTAACCCCTGAATTGCTAACAAATCGAGTCCGGTAAGTAGGTAGTCTAAATAATATAGATAGTTCCTATATATAAGAAGTGAATTATGAAAGAATGTATAGAATAAGGGTAATTCTAGCCAACACATTAGAGCGGATATACCGTAGTCTAGTCACTGCCAGGTCTAGGTAATATAGTATTAGTTATAGATAATAGTAGTAAGAAAAGTAGTATAATACTAGTAAAGTGAAGGTAAGAGATAGACTGCGACATCGCCCGTCCATGGGCACTAGGAAGTGTCCACGGCCCATGGGCCTTTTGAAATTATTTGACGCCCATCGCCCACTGTTCTGCAAAATTAATGCAAAAACTACCCTATTAGGCTATTTTATATACACAACCAGTTCTTGGCAGTATCCACTTTGCCAAGAGTACCCGCATATGTCTTGGCGACGCTAAAAGTGTCTCCACTGTCATGGGCGTTGTCGCAGTCTAGTAAGAGAGATAGTAGAGATAGCTAAGAAGTTGTAAGGTAATGAAAGAAATAAGGCACATAAAAAGTCTCGGCTAATGCCTGGAAAGGGGCTAATGCCTGGACGGTCAGGCGGGCCTGGCTGATATGTAATCACAGATAGAATGCGGGGCGCAACGATTGGATATCCTATAGTTGTAGATCGCTAGGTTAATGTAACATGATACCACCTAATGCACACAAAAACTAGCATTTGAGTCATTTTTCTAGCTTTTGTTATGCCTGCACTTTATGGTAGGCCTGGTTAGATGCGGGTGGTTAGTGCCTCCGGCGCGGGTGCCCAACCTGGGAACCCGTGGACGGCCCGGGGTATCCATCCACTTGCAACCTTGGAAGTTTAAACTTGAACCTACTACGCTTACCTTAACGTATAGTGTATATAACATAATTTCTTACGAGTTTATGTGGAAATCCACGAAGAACATCGAATATGAGAATTTCTTTTGTGAAAGTGGTACACTTTTAGGCTGTAAGGCCGCCATTGAAAGGGGATGATGCCAGTAAGTAGCACAAATAATGCGTCTGCTCCATTTCCTGCCCAACTGAGTACCAATCTGAGCTCGAAAACGATCAAATGCCTCGACTTTTGAGGCACATACCAGCTGAATATGTGCGTGCCACTTTACATATATGTGTCTTGCTGCGACGCTTGCTTTAGCATTTTTGATTTGTCAATGCTCCACAGTAAACATTAGAACACTCTAGGGCTTAGAGCCGATACCCTGGACTTCTTCAATTGGGTGTAATGTGAAGTTCACAGCTTCCGAAAGAACTAAAACAAGCTATACGAATATTTGAACCAATCAAACAAAAAGACCTGTAGCATAGTTGATATTTTGATAAAGGAATGTGCCAATAACAATATGGACCACCACACCTGAATTTCAAGTTCAGCTAGGCCTAGCATCTTAAATCCTAGAAGTAGGGGATGCTGTCGAGCTGTAGGATAAGGGCTCGTTGCATATGATATCAAGTTTTAGTAACACTTGAGAATTTCCACCATCCCCAGTGGGCACCAATTGGCCATGCAGATGGGGGAAACCGGGCCTGAAGGTGGCAGACTATCCCTATGTATCGTCATGTTCTGCCGATCTTTATTTCGCGTAATTTGAGCAGCTTTCATAAATATTTAAAGTCCACCATAGATGCTCTCTTATTTCAGTCTACCACCCAGCTTCAGTTTCAGATTCCTCCAATATTCCGATCTGCTAAGGCTCCAACTTGAAGGTTTTATATTTTCAAGTTGGAACGATAGACAATGCCTGAATCTTGCCCCCTTGACGCCCTCCTTCAGGGTAGCAATGAAATCAACATTGCAGATGAGATTTCTCGCCGTGACCTGATGAAAGCGTTGAAAGCTAAATACCCAGAGAAATATCGAGATGTTCTGGAAACATACGATCCAAACCAACAACATTTGTTGACTAGATTTGTCGCTGGCCAAGCGCTAGAGGACTTAGCCAGAGAGATACCACTCAATTTACCAACTTCCGTCGGATACTCTCAAACCATAGGAAAGCCGCTTTCTGCGACCCCTGTTAAATATGGCGCTGAACATGGCGATGAATATGAGTCTGTCGACCTCGGCCTCTACAATGACGCCGATAAGAAAAATCCAGTTTTGGTAAGTTGGACTTCTAGCCATTGAGCTGGGTATGTATACCCCTCGGCCACTAAGACGTGCGACAGGCTTACTTGCATGTGGTCTTTTCAAACTGGGGTAATACAGTGACCAATACCCCATTGTACACTTGCATCCCCGATACTGTCTACGGTGTTCGACAGATTGTAAGCTATGCGAAGGCAAATGGCTATGGAGTTCGTGTATCTGGATACCGTATGTGATGTGTTATTTCCGAGCTTACTGTTCTAAGCCCGGTACTAATGAACAAAGGTCACTCATGGTCCTCAATCTTTGGGCCAGACAAATCCCAGGACAGGCAGTTCATTCTCATCTCCACACTACAGCTTGACCGCGCAATTCTCGGCAAAGACAAGAATGAAGAGGCTTCTGGAAAATATGCCGATTATAAAGTTGAGCTCAACGAGATTAAAGAGCCAGACAGTACCGACAGCGGCATCCAAGCTGATCAGCACCTTGTTAGTGTTGGCTGTGCCACCACAAATGAGGATTTACGACGATGGTGTCTCCAAACTAGTGATTACAAATGGACTTTGCCGTTGAACGTGATTATGGTAGAAATCACCTTCGGTGGAAGCAATGCCCCGATTTGGTTCGTGAGCTTTTAATACCCTCCCATTTCTAGTATTTCTGGGCAAGATTGTTGATTTGCTTCCAGCCACGGAGCCGGATACAAGACAAAGACGCTGAGTGATTTGGTCTACGAGATTGAGTACGTGGATGCCAATGCCAAGGTTCAGACAATCAATCGCAAGGATGGAAATGGAACTCTCATTCAGGCTGCAAGTGGCTGCTTTGGGTTGCTTGGTGTCGTTACCCGCTTGACACTTGTTCTTGACAAGATGACAGTCGCGTTGATGAAGCCTGAGAAGGTTCCTGTTGTTCAGGCTATCCCTCCACCTACTGATATGGTTGACAAGCTTCCAGATGAGCTTAAGAAATCCTATGACGGATATACTCCAGAGGAGATCGACAAGTTTGTTCGGGAATTTGAAAGACGCGCCTTCAATGACTACTATGCAGAATGGTTTTGGTTCCCATTCCATAAACAGGTTTGGATCAACACATGGGACCTAGATACTACAAGAGCCAAACCCAGTGACTATCCGTCCAAGGATGAGATAGGCAAACAGATTACTCAGAGTTTTATTCTCGAGATGTTGCAGGAAACCCTTCGCAAGGAAAGAAAAGTGGAACCGGTAGATGCAACCAAATTAATCTGTATTTGATCCTTTTCCATATAAATGACTCGACATGTTATTCGCTAACGTTATTAACCAAAATCAAAGCTGACCAAGCGATGGAAACATTGCCTCCGAATGAGGATACCAGCACCATCTTGACCTGGCTCCCTAATGCTCTTCATTTCCGGCGAGGAATTCAAAATTGTCGGGTTCGGGATCTTGAGGTTGAAATACCCGTAAGTCACTAATGAACCGTGCGCCAAATTCAACATTCGTCTAAGAAACTATGTCTAAATCGCGCAATTGACAGATTCCTACCAAAGAAAACCTCGAAATCGTTCGGAAGGCTTGGTGGCAGGCAATCCTGGTCACGTATGAAACCAAGGCGACATGTCCTATGCGAATGCCCCTTGAGATGCGCATCACTGCCGATAGTGATGTGTTGATGGCGCCGCAGCGTGGCAACATTCACGGAACCTGTGCTATTGAAGTTTTGACTCCTCGTTTCATGGAAAGTGAATGGAAAGGATTCGCCCAGTTAGTACTTGATCAGTGGATGACCCTCAGAAAATGGAATGGGCAAAATCTTAACATCAGACCCCACTGGGCCAAAGAGTGGTATGTATTTCTGCAAGTGCTTTCTGCCTATCAATGCCATTTAACTGACTATTCAACACCTGTAGGCAGCAATACAAAGTTGATGGCAAGCCTTGGCCGCAGTATCTGAAAGAGACAAGCTTCAAAAAGGAGATTGATCTATTCAAAACTGCCCTCACCACTATCGGGGAAAATCAGGGATGGACTTTACAGAACATTCAGGATATGTTCTCGAACGAAGTTTTTGACAATTTGATTTTCCAATAATAATGAGTCAACACAAGTTTATCATGGAGATGGTCTCCATTTAACGCCTGAGATCGACGAATTTTGTTCAGTGAGCGGAAAGCGAAAGTGGAAAAACCGGATAAGACTTCGGAACATGGAGTTAACATAAAAATTTGAAAAATAAAAAAAGAAACAGCAATAGGGTTCTTCCTAGCTGTTAAAAGGAGCGTTGCCAGAGTTTAGAAGTGTAGCACTAGTAGACTGTTATTCCATACATTCTTTTTACAATTCACTTCTTGCATATAGGAACCACCTGTATTATTTAAACTACCCACTTACCGGGCTTAATTTATTAGCAATTTAGGGGTTAAATAGCGAGCACTTTATACTCTTTAAAATACATACTTATTTTACTTTTTGCTCTAGTACTACGTATAGTAGGCACTAGTATCAAGTTATATTTAGTCTATCTTCATTCGATATAGGGCAACCCAATCATATTCGGCTACAATTCAGCTAGAGAGGGTCGGTGCAGCATCTATGTTGTATGAGAGGTGCTAATGAATCCAGAAAGAGGCTCTTATAGAGGCTTATACTACTACGGAGTACTTGGTAAGTTAATCTTGACTTAGACATATCAGCACCTATAGATCTAATGACAATGCTACATTTAAATAAGATATGACAGAAATATATCTATCAACAACATTAATATTAACATTAACATCAACATTAAACTCAACGCCAACCTATGCAATCGCACCAAAATCAACGCCCAAACCCAAGAACATCACGCTGATCATCCGTAAGCCGACCCCACTCCAAAAGCAACCGAAAGAAGTAAATTTCCATATCCTCCTTCCTCAACACCGTACTCGCCCACTTCCGCCCTTCCTCAGCAATCCACTTCCCCTCCCGATCATGCGCTTTCATACGCATCTGCGCGGAACTAGAACCACTCTCCTCAGACACACCCGCAAAGTATGCAAGCGTACTCCACAGACCATGGAGACGGATATCGACAGGGACGAAGTGCAGCCACGAGGTGACACGGGAGTCGAACCATTGACGGAACAGACCTGTTTTGAGAGGCAGGCTATTGCTGTGTAGGAAAGGAAGGAAGCGGCCGCTGAACCCGGCGCCGTCTAGGTCAAAGAGGAAACGGTGGGACCAGTGGGCTTGGAAATCTGCCCAGCCTGCGGTGCCCATTTCCGCGGCTTGTTCGGCGCAGTCTTCGCAGCGGACTATCGGGTCGGCGAGGTGGACGGAGGTTTGGAGATGGAGGTCTGAGGCGGGGGCGCTGCCGCCCATTGTTTCGTAATGGAAGGAGTTTTCGGTTGGGTCTGTTGGGAGGAGAACGGATACTTGGTTGGTGTTGTTGTTTATTAGATGTGCGAAGCGCTGGCGTGGCATTCCTTTCCACTCGCCGAAGCGGCTGACGCCTTCTGATGTACTACCGAGCCAGTAGAGGGAGTTCTCTTTTTTGCTGTATTCTGGATCTGGGTGTTCGTGTGTGGGTTGGTATTTTACCTTGTCGATGTAGTTCCATGGACTTGGGAAGAGGATGTCGTTGAATCCAGTCAGAGCGCTTTGACTGAATACCGGGATAAGTTCCTGTGACACCTTGAATGAGGCTGGGGAGATTAGGAGACCGTGGAGGAAGGCAAGGTCGGGTTGGTGGCAGATTTCAGAGGCAATATTGAAATTTAGAGGGAATTGGCCGATGGAATGAGGAGCAACACATGACAGACAGATGTCACGGCGGTTCCAGATTCGTTGAGAGCGCGCTTTCGACGAAGGCGGGCAGACAGCGCTCACATATGGGTCGAAGACACCCCTCCACGCTCCGTCGGTGAACACGGTGATGTTGGTTTGATCGGCCGGTTCAATCGGGGCCCAGCCCTCCTCTCGGTTGGTTGACCAGGTCTGCACCGTGCGCTCTTCGGGGATCATTGCTTGCATCTCAGTCTGTCGATTCAACATTGATATTTTCTCCCAGGGAACTGCAACACGTGGTTCATCGTTCAGATTGAACACTAGGTCCATATCCGGGAGATATTTGGCAAAATTGTCCATCATGTCCACGGCACCCTGTACCATCCACGCATGGGTTGGTTTGATGCCTTCTTGCACCATGGCTGTGCCGTTGCGAATTCTGATTCCACCGAGATCATTGAAAGGGTTTGTGGCCAGTTCGTGCGTCATTGCGCGGATGTGCTCCGGAGCCAATGCTTGGAATGGAAGTAGATTATGGTGTATCTGATCAAAATCATCGATGATAGCTGAGGATCGGCTAGTGGCATACCGGTACCATTCGTCAAAGCCCCTAGGCAAATATTAGTTGAGCTATGTGTAAACGTAGAAATCTCAAACATACGGTGGTGGATGCTGATTATATCGCCTCCGGTATTCGGTAACAGCATCTCCAAGAGTCCTGCTCCTAGACGCCTGAGCGAGATAGTTTTCATGTTGAATTTTGCCCTCGTTGATGAGAAACTCAATCGGGTGAATATCATGACCGCGATTCTTGCTCACTGCAAAAATGAGACTGATTCCACATAGCACGGTGAAGAATATTTGGATGGCAACGTTGGTGCGGTATAATTTTGGCTCTTCATTATGAACCACTCGCGCAAGAAGAAATAGGAGTGCGCCCGTTAGAGATGCAGCCAGCGGGAGAACAGCATGAGTTAGGGAGATATATTGGAAGGGTGACTGTCCTCCGGTGACTGCTGATAAATAAGAGAAGGATATGATCATATATCCACCTATGATTGACAGCCCAAGGACGTCGAAATGCGGTAACTAGAAGAAATCAGTACTGAGAGAGAAATAAGTATAGAGAACTAGCAAGACCAACCATATGCCAAGCTGACAAGACCAATATGACAATCAGCATAGACTGGCTGAAAGCGCCGCGCGAATACTCTAGATCTAACATGGGTTGACCAGCAAGTTCAGGAGATCTGTCTGATAATGGGACCAGGGCTTGTATAACACTCCAGACAAAAGAAAGACCCTAGAAAAAAAGTTAGAGCAGGTATTCCCTATTCGATCGTAGTTTTCCACTTACCAAGAGACCAGCTCCAAGGAACGTCAAAGCTCGTTTTCTGCGCGCGTCATCAAACTGAGCACCACTCCGACATAGCTCAGTGACACCAATAAGAATAACAGAATCGGCCAATAGATTGAATAGCTTGTACGATCGTAGACCCGATGCGCCATATACTAGAATAGGACAGACATAGGTTGACCGAGTTCCGGCTGAGAGCGACGAGGCCAAGAGCCCACCAGCAGACAAGAAAGCCGCTGCAATTAAACCTCTGGAGCGACTTTCGGTAAGATAATAGAAGCTCCGACGGGAAACAGAGTAGACCACTTGCAACGGCAGCCCTTCGAATCGTTGGGTAGGGACATATCGGTCCACTTGTCGAGATCGCTGGTTGCGCCAGTAATCGTAGAGCGAAATAACGAAAGGAATAGCGTACTGTCCAAAACATTGTGTTAGTCGCATGAAGAATTACAGGATAACCAAGGTATTCGGCCACTTACAGCGTATCCAGTGGGCGCACATTCGGTATGCAGGGTTAGTTGGCGAAACGATTCAATCCGCAAGCCACATAGCCCTAGCAAGAGACCGATCTTTATCCACCATGACTGAAACCGTAGCCGAGGTCGAGTCTCGGCATCGCCCAGTGCGAAAGATGAAGTCGATGCGCGAGAAGGAAGCTCAAATTGCTCTGCGAGAGGTATAATCGGCCGTTTACTATTTGGCGACGGTGGCGACGAGGCCAATGAAACGAACCGACTCCATACCAAGAGTGTGAACCCTGTAAGGAAGCAGGCTAGTACGGCGGTACTGACGGGACGATCTGTAACGGTGCAACAGTCAGATTAAGTTATATAACGACATTGATATCCATGGCCACGGCTCACCAAAAGCGAATGTAGTGTTGTAGGAGGTAGTAAGGAATAACGAGCTTAAAAGAAATACCCTGCTCATAGAATGCGATCATGAGCTTAAGTTTTCAATAGTGTGGGATAGCTTGCTAGATACTCACCCCACAGATAGCTTCAGCCCGAGATCGGAAGCCAATTTGATCATCTTGCACCCAAGATTTTTATAATCACTCTAAAGCGGCCATCGCTGTGTTTTCAAGAATAGATCGAACAGTTGAAAGGTAGCGAGACTGAAAGACAGAAGAAGATTAACCTCTTGTGGATCTTCAGGAGATTGACAGTCTTCGAGACATAGGGAAAAAAAAGCAGGGCAGAGAGGGGCCAGGAGGGTCCTTTGATAGATTGGCGGCTAATCAGAGGCATCCGGAGTGCTGATCCATTAATATTAGGGTTGCGTCAACGGGTTACGATGTATGTGTTTCATGGGCTTTTGCTGTGGTAACCACGGGCCATTGCTTGTGTTTCTAGTATCTTGTCAATGAGGATACTATAATGTCTTCATCCATGTCTACTGTTAGGTCCTGGTGGTTAGCTGGTTTTATCTAAAGCGTCTTGAAAAACTTCGTCAGCAAGACACGCCGAGCCGATCAGCGGCCAGAATCTGGCTTTGGTCAAATTCAAGACCCACTTGTGTCCGAAGGGTGATATCTTTTGTGGGACCTTTCGGTGTATACGGAGGGCAAATATAATAGAGTAGCATTCGCATATCCATGTAAGCAGAACGACTCTCTCATGTGCATAGACAAGGAAGGTTCACTAAGTACACGCGTCATATCAAAGACGTTGGATGTATCCTATCGGCTCATTCGGGCTGTGAAAATAAAGATGGTCTAGGCGACCCATGGTTAGCGCCAAAAATAAATTTGGCTAAACCCAAAACAGCTCGTCTATTTACTAATTTGGTAAGCTTGTGTCATCTAGAGTCATGTGACTTGGCTAGGGTCCAGACGTCGACTTATTCGTCCAATGAAATGTAACGGCCAGTTGTTACGACGAAATAGAGTGTATCACGTGATGTCTTAAGGGGTATCAACATACCGCCTACTTCTTCGGGGTGGCCTTGGCAGTTCCCTTGTCAGGTGATAAATAAATGATTATGTAATTTGGAGAATTGGCTGGCGGTGTATTATTGCCTCGGGCGGTGTCAGATAGCAGTATCATTTTTTTCTAACCGCTAGGAAGTTTTTGGTCGCAAGACGAAGCTAAGTGTTTTTTCCCAAACAACACTAATCCGGAATCGCCATGCCACGCAAGGCGATTGACTCGCGGATTCCCGCTCTTATTCGAAATGGCGTGCAGGAGAAGAAGCGCAGCTTCTTCGTGGTTGTTGGCGACCATGCCAAGGATGTGATCGTGCATCTTCACTATATTATGTCCAGCGTGGACGTGAAGCAGAACAAGTCAGTACTATGGGCATACAAGAAGGACTTGCTTGGATTTACCAGTCACCGCAAGAAGCGCGAAATGAAGATCAAGAAGGAGGTCAAGCGTGGCATTCGCGAACCGAACCAGGAAGACCCATTCGAACTTTTCATTACTCTCAACCAGATTCGCTATGTCTACTATAAGGAAACCGAGAAGATTTTGGGTAACACCTACGGAATGTGTGTGTTGCAAGACTTCGAGGCCATGACTCCCAATTTGCTTGCACGAACCGTCGAGACCGTCGAGGGAGGAGGTTTGGTGATCTTGCTTTTGAAGAGCATGACCAGTCTGAAGCAGCTTTACACCATGTCCATGGATATTCACTCGCGATACCGAACAGAGGCGCACGATGATGTTGTTGCTCGTTTCAACGAGCGATTCATCCTGTCACTCGGTAGTTGCGATTCGTGTCTGGTGGTCGACGACGAGCTGAACGTGTTGCCCATCTCCGGCGGCAAGACCGTGAAGCCTCTCCCCGCCCCCGAAACAACCGACGAGTCAGCTTCCGGCACCAAGAAGGAATTGAAGGAAATCAAGGAGAGTTTGGCGGACTCAAAGCCCGTGGGCCCTCTGCTCAGCTTGGCTCGCACGGTGGATCAAGCGAAGGCCCTCCTGACCTTTGTTGATGCAATTGCTGAAAAGACCTTGAAGAGCACTGTTACTCTGACTGCCGGTCGTGGACGAGGAAAGTCGGCCGCTCTCGGTGTCGCCATTGCCGCGGCTGTCGCTCATGGCTACAGCAATATCTTCATCACTTCTCCCAGCCCGGAGAACTTGAAGACACTCTTCGAATTCATCTTCAAGGGCTTCGATGCACTTGGATATCTCGACCACGTTGACTACACCATCCTGCAGTCGACCAACCCCGACTTCAACAAGGCCGTTGTGCGTGTTAACATTCACCGCAACCACCGTCAAACCATCCAGTACATTCAGCCCCAGGATGCGCAAGTCTTGGGACAGGCAGAGCTTCTCGTTATCGATGAGGCTGCAGCTATCCCTCTACCATTGGTCCGCAAGCTGATGGGACCTTACTTGGTATTCATGTCCTCCACCATCAATGGATACGAAGGCACGGGCCGGTCCCTGTCTCTGAAGTTGATTCAGCAACTGCGGGAACAGTCCCGAAGTGGAGTCAAGACTGACGATACCGACGTCGCCGACCGCAGCACAGGCAAGTCAGCCAAGGGTGCCGACAAGAATCTCAGCGGCCGAACTTTGAGGGAGATCACCCTCTCAGAGCCCATCCGTTATGCCCCCGGTGATTCTGTTGAGAAATGGCTGAACAAGGTCCTCTGCCTTGACGCAACCCTTCCCAAGTCCCGCATGAACACACAAGGATGCCCTCACCCCTCGCAGTGCCAGCTGCTTCAGGTCAACCGTGATACCCTGTTCTCTTTCCACCCTGTTTCCGAGAAGTTCTTGCAGCAGATGATGGCCCTCTATGTTGCCAGCCACTACAAGAACACACCCAACGACCTTCAGCTTATGAGTGACGCCCCTGCCCATCAACTCTATGTACTTGTCCCGCCTATTGATGAGGAGGCCACTAAGTTGCCCGAGCCTCTCTGCGTCATTCAGGTCGCTCTTGAAGGTCGCATCAGTCGCCAGAGTGTGCTCAACAGTTTGAGCCGTGGTCAGCGCGCAGGAGGTGATCTCATCCCGTGGTTGGTCAGCCAGCAGTTCCAGGATGAGAACTTCGCCAGTCTCTCGGGCGCTCGTGTTGTCCGTATCGCAACCAACCCCGAGTATGTGGGTATGGGATACGGTTCCCGGGCTATGGAGCTTCTGGTCGACTTCTTCGAGGGCAAGTTCACCAACTTGGAGGAGGAGACCCTTTCCACCGAAGAGCAAATGGTCCGTGTTACAGACGAAGAGCTCGCCGGCTCTAGCCTTTTGGATGACAACGTCCACGTCCGTGACATTCGTTCCATGCCCCCTCTGTTCGGCAAGCTGACCGAACGTCGCCCTGATGTCCTCGATTACATCGGTGTCAGCTACGGTCTTACCCCATCCCTCCACAAGTTCTGGAAGCGCGGTTCCTTTGTCCCAGTATACCTGCGTCAGACCCCCAACGAACTCACCGGAGAGCACTCTTGCGTGATGGTCCGCACCCTCTCTACTGGCGAGGCCGACGATGCCTGGCTGAGCGCCTACGCGCGCGACTTCCACAAGCGATTCCTCGCTCTGATGTCATACCAATTCGGACAGTTCCCATCCGTCCTCTCCCTTAGCATCTGCGAGGCTGCCAACTCCGGTGCCAAGAAGGACCCCAAGTTCAAGCCACCGGCGCTGCAGAAATCGGACCTCGATGCCGCCTTCTCGCCCTTCGATCTTAAGCGTCTGGACAGCTACGCCAACAACCTCTTGGATTACCACGTCATCCTTGATCTGGTCCCCGCTCTCTCCGACTACTACTTCGGCAACCGTCTCGATGGCAAAGTCAGCCTCTCCGGCGTTCAGCAATCCATCCTCCTCGCCATCGGCCTGCAGCACAAGAACCTCGACGACCTTGAGAAAGAGCTAAACCTCCCCTCCTCCCAGCTCCTCGCCATGTTCCTCAAGATTGTCCGCAAGATCTCCACCCACTTCCGCAATCTGATCGAGAGCGATATTGAGAAGTCTCTACCGGCACAGAAGGTTCGTCTCGAGACCTCCGCCGCTCACGACGACGAGCCCGAAGTCACCCTTCAGCCCCTGCCCGTCTCTCTTGAGGATGAGCTCCGCGAAGGAGGAAAGAAGATCGATGAGGAGATGCGCGCCAAGCAGCTTGCTCTAGGCACATCTAACCCGTAAGTTTCAATCACATCGTCAGTCTATCGAAACAACAATAACTGATTTCCAGCCAGTGATGGACCTGATAGCTCTAAGTCTTCCAAGCGCAAGAAGATCGAGACTGCGCGTGACATCTACGACAAGGAGATTGACTCCAAGAGACAAAAGATGATCAAGAAGGGCACCGAGGGCCGCAAAAAGCGCTGAATGATTTAGGACAGTTTTCTTTTTGCATTAATGTACGGTGTTCGGTTTTGGGTCTAAAAAGACTTGTGTCTAGTATTTGTCTTCAAGGTTCATCTTTCAGGATATTCGTCTCTTGTACATATGAATCATGTGTTTATTACTACATCTGTTCCGTAGGATATCTCCTAATGGCTTGATGCATTGCCTACATAAGCTTATGCGATTCGCTCTCAAAAACTAGAAAAAGATACATAGAGGTCACCAAAATAGTATCGACCTCTTCCAGGGTGAAACACTATCATAGCTCATCATGCTCCACGGCCTGTTCCTCGGCCTTAGTCTCAGCCTCGACAGTCTCAGCTTCAGGTTCAACCTCAGCTTCCGCCTCAGTCTTGACTTCAGCCTCGGGTTCAGTCTCAGCCTCAACACTGACAACAATACCCTCAGGCAACTTCTCCTTAGCACCCTCACCCAACCGAATCGCATCGATCCAAGACTCAACAGCAATAGCCCCAAAGTCCGCACCGGCGCTGAACCGACGCCACCAGCCGCGACGCGCATTCAACGCGATAATCTCCACCGTCTGGCCATCACCCAATGCCAATGCCTCACGCAGAGTCTTGGACGCGTCGTTGATAGCAGGGACAGCATAAAGCGGGAAGAGATGGGTTCCGCGCAGGACGTGCTTGTGGCTGATCTCCGCGAAGCTCGCGAGCGCCTCGGTAGCAGATGCTGGGAGGGCGGCCTCGGGCTCGCTCGTCTCAGGAAGAATGACTAGCACACAGGTGCCGGACTTTGGTGCGAGACAAGCTGATTCGAGGGATTCGCGGGTGGGGAGGTTTGGGATTGCGGGGAGGGGGACCTGAGCAGGCTTGACAGAGGGGTCTGTTGTGTCCTGGTCCTGGGAGGCGGTTGGCTTGATGTCTTCGTCGTCGGCGACGGAGGTGGGCTTAGAAGCGGGCTTGGACTTTGACTTTTGTTTCGGCTTAGGCTTGTCTGAGGCGGAGCCGGACGCGTCTGGGTTGGGTGTGGCAGCTTGGCTCAGGAACTCGGTGATTGGCTTCTTCTTCAGCTCCCCGGTGTAGAGTTTATGCCCGGCGTCGGCGCTGGGGATGAGGACGAGTGATGGGAACTCGGTTATGCCGTACTTGTTCACGGAGGCGGATTCTTTGTTCCGGACTTGGGCAATGTCAATTGCGCCGAGGAAGTCGATTGCTAGGGCGCGGATCAGCGCGCCGGTTGTGCCCTTCTCGGTAAAGAGGATGGCCTTGGGTCGGTCCTCGTTTTGTCCGAGCCACTTGTCCAGGTCCTTGTCTGTTGCGCGCTTCACGTGGTTGGGGATGTGGTCGACGACTGCGTCGACGATGCCTTTGGCGGTACGCGCGCCTTGGTAGTCCTCGACACGGGGCTTTCCGGGCTTTTTGGAAGGTGTCACGATCTTCAGGGTCGGGAAGCCTTGGACGCCCATCTGTCCGCAGAAGGGTTTGTTTTCGTCATCGTCGCAGTTGATTGCAGCGACTTTCGCGAGTCCGTCGAGATTAGTCGCGGCTTTTTCGTAGGCAGGCTTGAGGTTCTTGCAGTGGCCGCACCAGGGGGCGTAGAATCTAAGTGAAAATGTGAATGAAGGTCGGAGGGGAGAGGCAGAGCTAGGTAGCTAGATAGCTACAGTGCGGGACAGCTTACTCGACGATCTATGTAGCCAACCATTAGTCGATGCACATGTATAAAGACGATGAATACTCACCGAGGTGTGATTCGAGTTCGCAATAAGCGATTTGTAGGTTTTGGGATTCAACTGAATCACTGGCGAATTCTTGGTGTATAGTCCATCGGCATTGACAGGCAATGCCGCAAGGAGCGTAACAAGGAAAAGACTAGCACTGTGTAGCATTGTTATCCACAGGTGATTTCAAGATGAGATTCAGCAAAGCCAAAAAGTAAAGAAAAGACAGAGACAAAAAAAGACAGATGGTCGGATTTACGCAAGGTGTCCTGAAGCTCTTGGCGGTCTTACTATACTCCAGGGTGTCTACCTAGGTAATGAAGGCACACAGTAAAAGAGATATACTGAAGTTATCAAACAATATGTGTACTATACGTCATGGAATATCTTCGCCATGTTAAAATATATCTATCTTCTTGAAAACTACGTACATCCATGATTATGTAGTTATCAAAATTATATCATCTCCATCCAACTTGGACATCTCCAACTCCTTTTTCTTCTACCAACACAATGACCAGATCAAAACAAAACAATGACGTGGCCTTTTTACCTCGCGAACTCTTCTGGATGATCTTAGGCTATTTACAACCAAAAGAATTAGTCCGCTGTCGCCGCGTCTCACGTGCCTGGAACGAAGCCTTTACCAACCCAGTCATCCTACTCCGACTCCTAAAGAGACATTACCCATGGACAAAAGAAGTAAAAGCCCTGAAGACATCTGAAAAACAAGAAGGTCGTCGTCTTTTTGACCAGGTCGCTTCACGATACGATTACCTAGAACGAGGCAAACCCCGCTCTATCCAGAAGTACCGCCTTTGCGATGACTTCGGCAGCGCTGGAGATCGTGAATGGTATCAGGTTCAACCATGGGAGTCACACGCCAGTCATATGAGACGCTTCATCGACCGCCAGTTCGCTGAGGCATTATGGACTTTCGAGGACGGCCTACTGGTCTACCCCAGCGCCGATCATCAATTTCTCGTACTCATGGATTTGGAAACGGACCGGCAGTTCATGGTGCCATTCATTATTCGCGGCAAGGTCATCCGTCGAGTGCGTCTACAGAAGCGCTTGCTCGTCGTTGAATGGGCTGAGCCGAAAGCCTTTCACTGGTTGAATGATAGCGATGGCGTGCATCGCCACTTTGCATCCTCCTTTGATATAACGAGGAGTGAGACTCGGGGGTGGAATATTACCCCACGAAACGAATGGAAGATTATGTTCCTAGGCCATCCACTAAGCGAACGAGATCGGTTCTTCTCCTCACATAGCAACACCCACTATGTAATTTATATATGGCAGCCAAATCGCAGCTTGTATACTGCCGACGAGGATGCGCCCATTGAGTCTTTGTCTGTCTGGGACATATCGAAAACATCATCATACCGACCTTCATTGGACCCCACAGGACGACTGAGAGACGACTCACCTGATGACTCCCCATCGATCGTGGCACGGTTCGGATTCCGAGACCTGGAATTCTTCAATATCCGACAACGAGGCTGTCCAAGCATACAGCGACTAGTTATTACGGATGATGCCCAGGCAGTCGAAATCACAGAAAACGTTTGTATACCGCCGGGAGACCAACCACCCGACCCATTCGGCCTTCCTCAACCTGTTACTACGAGCATTCCTCTGGTAGGAAATGGGCCTCATTGGCGCCGACATTTCGAGGGGATTCTACCACCTTACCGTGGGAACTGCAGCATGCAGGCAGAGAGTATGAAATTCGATGGGCTTATCATGGATCCTTGGTTTGGTGTTATTGCTCAAGTGACTGTACTCGAGCCTGATCTCGGCTTTTGTCTTCACTTTGATCCTTGGACGTGGATCCAGGACCAAATTGTCCATTTGACAATTCAGACACCTCGCTCGAGTGTCACTTGTGATAATTGGGATTTTGTTGGTAGGGCGAGGCTTGCTGGTTGTGAGAAATATTTGGTGGGTGAGAATTGCAATCGAGAGCTAGTGATCTACCGGTTTGATAGATGAATTGAACGGTCTTCGGCCCATACTATGAATGACGATAGCTTCCATGCAAGAATTCATTCCTATTGCTTGTTCTCTTATGAGTACAAGTTACAGTCAGATCCGAATCCGGCTATATAGCGCCGTAATCGCCAGACATGATACATTTGTCTCCATCATGGCCAAGAGTCCCCATGAATGGGAGATGTCCTCCTCTGAAGACGAGCCACTAAGGCCTAACAAGCAAAGCAGATAGTGGTTTCTTTTGAATGGGGTGTTTTGAACAAGAGTACAAAGGAATTAAGTGATGATAAGTATTCTTGATTCCTTTCGGTCAAATAATGAAATACGTCCCTTTGCACTTATCGCACGGCACTTGGCTCATCCTACCCTTTGTGTTTCCACGATCTTTGTTGCTCGCCTTCCTGTATTTACTTCTCATTTCTCATTTTTAAACTCGAGATCCCATCCTGCCACTCATATCATGGCTTCTAACCGTAATGCTTGTGAGCCTGATGGCAATGGCCCAAATGATGACAACGAAATTGAGGATAAAATTGCTTGCTTGACTGCCTTCGAGACAAACACAAAGACGAAGGATTTGACTCGTAAGAAGCGCAAGAATACAATTAGAAGTTAAGGTGACTTGGAAGTAACTTCAAAGCGAACCCGAAGTGAAGGTACAGGCGCATCCGATATATATCCGATGGAGAATAGTATCTGTGAACGAGAAGGAAGTGGTATCATGACTTGGATTCAATAGATTCAATGGAATGATTAAGTAAAAAAATCCATCATGATATTGGCTTTTTTTTTATTTTTCTTTTTAAAAAGTTCGACAAGATAACAAGACCGAAAAATCCTCCCACAACCCCCAATCTCTCCTCCTCCCATTCCGAAACCATGGCAGGGAATCCAGACCGAAGAGAAATCTAGACTGAACACAAGAGAAAAGAAGCACAAAGACAGAAAACACATGTGATCCAACATGGATCAATCACTGCCCCTGCATCAAAGACCCCACGAAGGACGTAGAACCGGTGAATTTACACCGGACGCAAGCGACGCAAGCCATCACACCGCAGCCAGGACAGGTGAGAATGTATGTAGGCATCCACATGTTGCAAACATTGCACATGGGACGGCAGAACTCTTTGTCCCAGAATCCACGGTGGGAGCAATTGGAGGGATCAGTCCGAGCTGTCATACGTGAGGCATTCGGGAATGAAAGACGAATATCTTCCAACCAGCCACAATAGGTTTCCAACACAAGGCCGTTAAGCTCACCAGCGAGGTCATCGACGGTGTAGCGTCCTTGAGGGTCGGCAAGCTTTTGCTTGTAGAATGAGACCAGAGGGCCAAAGGACTCATGGCGCGCCAGGAAGGAGTTGATCAGTTTGTCAGCATCAGAATTGGAATCGGTAGATGTGGAATCGGTAGTGGTAGATTCGGAATCTTCGGCGGTAAACTTGGAAGTCGAGTGCTCATTGGATGAATGGGTGTAGTCTGGGACATGTCCAATCAAGTACTTAGCAATGGGCTTGAAATTCCAGTGGTCGTTGGCTGGATGGGTGGACTCTGGGACATGTTCATTCAAGTACTCAGAAACGGGCTTGAAACTCCAGTGATCATTGGCTGGATGAGTGTAGTTTGGAGAGTTGTCATTGGAATCCTCAGCAGTGGACGCGAAAGTCGAGTGCTCGTTGGCTGCATTGGTGGACCCTGGGACACGTTCATCCAAGTACTCAGCAATGGACTTGGAACTCCAGTGGTCGTTGGCTGGATGAAAGTAGTTTGGAGAGTATTCATTGGAATTATCAGCGGTGGATTTGGAATTCCAGTACTCGCCCGGTGAATGAGCATAGTTGGTGGGGTTGCCACTTGTTGAGATGTTAACGGACGGATCGTTACTAGCAGAACTAGTAGTAGACCGAGAACTTGAAGTGCAACCAGAGCGGACTGGAGAAGAACCGAACTGCTTGGAGTATTCATAGGAAAATGAGTCGAATGTGTCTGCAGGGTTGCAGGTCTTGGTATTCTCTTCAGGCAGAGCATCCATGAACTCTTTGAAATTGGGACCTTGGCCAGAGGCGAGGTCATCGAAATCTTCTTCGGACATCTCTTCTAGGTCACGCTGCACCCGAGCCCGCATGCTATCCTTGCGGGACTGTGCCCGTGCCTTCTGCTCTTCTGGGTCAATGCCAGCCCATTCGTTCTCCCACTGGATATTCTCGGCCTGGAATTGGGCACGTTTTGCTTTGTTTTCGGCCGAATTTGGGTCCATGTGTACACTTGTTCCATAACTGTAGTAGTAATCATCGTCGTACTGGCGTTGGTACAATTGGCCTGGCCAGTACTCAAAATCAAATCCGTGGCGTTCTCGTTTGGAGGAACCCTGGCGACTACCCCTGTAGGCTCTGTCATCCTCGGGATCTAGATGTCTCTTGGTCTTCTTTTTCAGGGCCTCGTCAAGCAAGTGCCGACGGTCTTCGTCACGGAGAAGCTCAACAGCATCTTGAACCTATTTGCAATGGGTTGTCAGCGATGTTCAGCAACTTGATGTTATAGATGTACCTTTCTGAATCGTTCGATGGCTGCAGGGCTATTTCCAGCCTTATCTGGGTGAAGCTTCAAGGCGAGTCGTTTGTAAGCAAGGTTGATGTCCTGGATTCGGGCATTCCACTCAACTCCCAGGATGGCATAAGCATCAGTGGTCACATCGTCGGCCGACATGTTTGCGGTCATACAAGTCTTGATAGTAGAAGTCAGTATTTTGTTATAGTATGTGTATGTAGGCTTGATAGATATTGGTCGCCAGTATTCGAACTGCCAGAATTGAATGGGAAAGAGAGAACGAGAGTAATGTGAGATAGATATGAAGGAAGGTGGGCAATCAGAACGTATCTGGTGAGGTAGGTGTGGGAAACAGCTCCAGGGGACGGTTGGGATGACGACAAATATATCAAAACTCACCGCACAAACGTAAGAAGATCAAGTTAGAAAGAACAGCCAATATAGAGACCTGGGATAAGAGGTAAATAACAGGACACCGCGAGTTGTATGAGATGGAAATAACGGGACACTGCGAGTTGTATGAGATGGAAATAACGGGACACTGCGAGTAGTATGAGACAGAAGAATATGAAAAGAGAGAGTATGGTAGAGGGTGAACAAGCATGAAATGAAGAACAAAGACGCAGATAGATGTTTAGCACGAGATTAGAGCAATAGTAAGAAAGATGTTTTCAAGGGAATGAGGAAAAGAGAAAGGAAGAGCAAGAAGAGGAATGAGGTGTATAGCGAGGGATTGAATCAACAATGCTATTGTAAACATTAATTCGAATCCTATTGATCGAATCGGGCATGAGACGCCATAAAAGGCATAGTACCATTATACCAAACAAAGAAATTCAAACAAAGAAATTCCAAAATGAAGTCGTCCAGGGTTAGGGCTATACACACAGGGCTAATGTGACCATATCCCAATCGATATAAATCAGATCTCCTAATAGCAGCACTCATATTTACTTTAAATAGCGTAGAGTAGGGCTATACACCAAGGGAAAAGGCTATACATATGAAATTGAAATGGATTCACTCTGATTTTACACAAGCTGAAGGTCGATCTAAATATGAACAAGTCTACACTAAAGGCGACTTCGTCCTGAAAATTAAATCAAGCCATATCCGCACTGGCGGTGGCACCGGTGATAATCTCAACCAGCTCGCCGGTAATGGTGGCCTGGCGTTGACGGTTGTACAAGATCTGGAACCTTGGGGGTTGTTAGACTCGAATCTTGAAGATATTATAGGTAAAACATACTTGTTGATCATCTCTCCAGCGTTCTTGGAGGCATTCTCCATGGCATTGCGACGAGCCGAGATCTCGCAGGCGTGGCCCTCAGCCATGGCCCAGAAGAGGTTGTTGGCAAGAGCGTACTCGCGGAGACTGGTCAGAACCTCATCGTCAACCTCGTAAGAGGAGATGTTGGCTATATTCAATGTTAGTGGGAGATGAATGAACAGTGTGTAATCATGTCTCACCGGACTGGGTGATAGCCTCCTCGGAGTAGGCCTCGAGAGAGACGGGCTCGTAGCTGGTAGCGTTGATGAAGGAGTTGTAGATGATGCGAACGCTGGCGTAGTCCTCGGGCAGAAGGGCGATCTGGTCGGCAATGGCCTGGGCATCGGCGAAGGTGGGGATGTCCTTGCAGACATTGGCGAAGCTCAGAACGATCTTCTCGGGGGCGGAACGGGACAGCTGAGCCTTAGCCTTCTCACCGAGAATGGCGATGTCGGCGTTGGGGTTCTCAGCCAAGATACGGCGGGTGGCCTTGCTCAGACCGGAGTGGATACCACCGCAAAGACCCTTGTCGGAACTGGCAACAACCAGAAGAGTCTTCTTGTCCTCCAGAGGCTTGGTCTCGGCCTGCTCGAAAACGGTGTTGGAGGTCTGACCGTAGACGCGAGATTCGTCCATGGCCTTCTGGGCACGGGTGAGACGAGTGGACGCAACAATCTTCATGGTGTTGGTGATCTTCTCGATGTTCTTGATGGACTTGAGACGACCCTCAATCTCACGCAGAGTCGCGAAAGTGGCGGCATTGGCGGGGGCAGGGCTTGATTTCGCAGTCAGCAATTGTCGTTCTAACCTCCTCTAATGTCTAGCATATCTTGCAGTTTCAATGGTGTCGAGGTGGTTGCGTCGGAGTACGTCGGGTGGAAGGACTTTTGGCACGAGGTATCGGATGAAGACTTACCGAGCGACGGCGGCACCACCAGCCCGCAGGGCCGGGCGGACGGCACGGGAGAACATTATGCGAGAGATTTAAAGAGAAGAGAGAACGAGCAGTTAGTGACTGCGGAGAGGAGGGGTGTGACGAAGGTTAGACGGAGATGCCTCGCTGGTCGGGAAGGAAGTTGAGAACCAGGGAGGTTCTGTCTCCGTGCTGCCGCTAAACCAAAAATGGTAAGCATCTACGGTGCGCCATTCCGACTTCCACCGCAGTGATGCCTCAGGCAAACTGAGTATTTACATAACATCCGCCTCAGGCACCTTGTAATCCCTCAAGGCCTCTTTTCCCATTCCATTCCTCCATTCCCAAGTGCCCCCAACCTTTCTCTCTTTCCTCACGTCTTTTCTCTTCTCTCATCTCGATTCCTCCGGATTTACCCGCAACTTCCCATCTATTCAATGTATCATTGATGCAGTAGATCTTAAAACCCTATTCTTACTCTTAATTGGTCAGAATTTCTCTACTTTCCTCCTTCTACCAGGCGGCTCGATTTGTCCGACTAGGCGCACGAGGACGCCCTCCCTTACCAAAACATCGATTTCTCTCATTTTACCCTCGGCCCCCTTTTGCTAGTCAAAGGTCCGCCACCATGAGCTCTTCAGAGGACGACGCACCCCTCATGCGCGTCAATGGACGTGGTAAAGGTGCGTTCCTCGGGTTATTCGGCTGTGATTATGCAACCCTACAATTTGTCGCGGACCTTGGCTTTCCTTGCACTTCATCTTCTCACTTCTATATCTCCTCTACCTCCTACACAATCGTACTTTCCTTATAGATGAGTGATTGAGGGTACATCTTGCACTTTGACGTCACTTCCTTCACACTTCCAGCATAACTTGAGCGGCATTCTAACATGGCTTTTTCTGCGCTTCTAGTCTCGCCAAAGTCTCCCGAGGTCGTCGAAATGGCGGATTCTAGCCCTGCCACGAACGGCCACGTTGATCCTGGAATATCCATCCGATTTGGTCCTGTGGAAGACAAAGATGTGAAGATGGAGGATGGAGAAGATGCGCTGGCTGCTGGTAAGCGCAAGTCTCGGACCAGTGTGGGCGAAAAGAAGTCCTATGCGGAAGCAGAAAGCAGCGAAGAAGATGAGCCTTTGGTACGCCTATCCCCACCACGGGATGACCTTTGTTATTCCCAGTGCGACCATACCGTCGCTTTCGGTTGAAGCGTCTGACCATTCGACAGAGCAAACGCCGGCGTACATCTGTGAAGCATGAAGACCCCGAGACCGATGACGATGTGCCCTTGGGGCGCAACGGCCGCAAACTTCCCAAAGCCGCCGAAACATCCATCGGGGATGAATCTGATTCCGACGTCCCGATTGAACGGAAACTTGCTGCACAAAAGAAAAGGATTGAGGAAACGGCGGAGAATGAGGCTAAACCTGCGCGCAAACCTACAGCAACAAAGAAGCAGGCAAACGGCGTTAAGAAAGAGCCGGCTGCTAGTAAAGCTGCCCCGAAGAAGGTGAAGGCTGAACCAGCCACAGCCAAGAAGGGCAAGGCCAAGACCGCCGTGAAGGCAGAAAGCCAGGACGCCGAAGAAAAGGAAGAGGAGGATGAATATCGCTGGTGGGAAGACCATACCAAAGGCGATGGAACCATCAAGTGGACAACGCTGGAACACAATGGCGTCGTGTTCCCTCCCGAATACGAACCGCTGCCTAAGCATGTCAAGATGAAATATGATGGTATTCCGATCACTCTTGAGCCAGAAGCCGAAGAGGTCGCTAGCTTCTTCGGTACCATGCTCAACTCCACGCACAACGTGGAAAACCCTGTGTTCCAGAAGAATTTCTTCGGCGACTTCAAGGATGTCATCAAAAAGAGCGGCGGGGCGAAAGACCCCAAGGGCAACAAGGTGGACATCAAGGAGTTTGCCAAGTGCGACTTCAAGCCCATCTTCGAATTCTACGAAGCTCAGCGTGAGGAGAAGAGACATCTGCCACCAGCAGAGAAAAAGGCTGCTAAAGCTTTGAAGGATGAGCAAGAAGCTCCGTATCAGTTCTGTATCTGGGATGGTCGCAAGCAGAAGGTGGGCAACTTCCGCGTGGAACCGCCTTCTCTGTTCCGAGGCCGCGGTGAGCACCCCAAGACCGGACATGTCAAGACGCGCGTGCAACCTGAGCAAATCACTATCAATATCGGCAAAGAAGCAAAGGTTCCGCCGCCACCTCCCGGCCATAAGTGGAAGGAGGTGAAGCATGACCAGGAAGGCACCTGGCTTGCTATGTGGCAGGAAAATATCAATGGCAACTACAAGTACGTCATGTTGGCCGCCAATTCCGATGTCAAGGGACAGAGCGATTTCAAGAAATTCGAAAAAGCCCGTGAACTCAAGAAGCACATCGAGAAAATCCGCAAAGATTATCAGAAGAACCTCAAACACGATATGATGGTCGAACGACAGAAGGCCACCGCAGTCTATCTCATTGATCAGTTTGCCCTGCGTGCTGGAAACGAGAAAGGCGAAGACGAGGCGGAAACTGTCGGTTGCTGTTCTCTGAAGTATGAGAATGTTACGCTGAAGCCCCCGAACACTGTTGTCTTCGATTTCCTGGGTAAAGATAGTATTCGGTTCTACGATGAAGTCCAGGTCGACCAGCAAGTCTTCAAGAACCTGAAGATCTTCAAAAAGGCACCCAAGAAGAACGGCGATGAAATTTTCGACCGCCTTACGGTATGTCCTGTCTCCCTCCTGCAGCGGTAAGCATCACTAACAAATAAAAGACTTCTGCCCTCAATAAGCATCTTGCCAACTACATGCCTGGTTTGACCGCCAAGGTTTTCCGTACCTACAACGCGTCTTATACCATGGGTCGTGTTCTCAACGAGATTAAGGATACCGGTGGTACTATAGCCGAAAAGGTGAAAGCGTACAACGATGCCAACCGTAAGGTTGCCATCTTGTGTAACCACAAGCGTACTGTCACTGCGGGCCATGCCAATGCAATGGAAAAGATGGGTGAACGGGTGAGTTTCCTCTATTCTGCCTTGTTCAAGGGGAGAGGCATAATGCTAATATATGTTTCGCTATACAGATCAAGGGCCTTCGGTACCAGAAGTGGCGGCTGAAGCAGCAAATGCTTGACTTGGACCCTACTCTGAAGAAAAAGAAGGGCGCAGCGTTCTTCGAAATTGATGAGGATCTTGACAAAGAATGGATCGAAGAACACCAAGCCTTTTTGATTGAGGAGCAGAGAACAAAAATCACCAAGAAGTTCGAGAAGGACAACGAAAAGCGCGTTGCTGATGGCGAGAAGGAGATGAAGGCTTCCGAGCTGGAGGAGCGCCTGGAGGCCGTGAAGGAGATGGAGAAGAAGTTCAAGAAGGAGAACAAAACCGGCAAGGTTGAGGCCGAGGCCAGAGGCGCAACAGTTCCAAAGCTTGAGAGTTCCATCGCCAAGATCGACCAGCGGGTTGAAACCATGTCCGTTCAGGCTCAGGATAAGGAAGACAACAAAGAGGTTGCCCTCGGTACCTCGAAGATTGTGAGTTTTTTTAGTCTGCTCCCTACCATATCGCCAGCTAATCATTCTTATTAGAACTACATTGATCCTCGCCTCACGGTCGTCTTCAGCAAGAAATTTGACGTCCCCATCGAAAAGTTCTTCTCCAAGGCGCTGCGTGAGAAGTTCGAGTGGGCCATCAAATCCGTTGAGGAGGACTGGGAATTCTAATCTACCACCGATCCCTGTCTTTCTTGCGGTTTACTTTCTTCGTACAATATTTTCGGTTCAACTCAGTCTGCCTTGGCAGGAAGAGATGATTTCTTTTTGTTTGTCAAATGATTCTTTCAAATCTAGCTGTTGATCCAATGGGATCCCTGATTGCATTCGCATGCTTGAGAAAGAATTGACGTTGCCCTCAGCATTTTCATGGTTTTCGTTATGGGAGGCTTGACCCTGTGTGCAAGCCTGCATTCGTGGTGGTGGTTGGTACGATATAATCGGTATACCCAGTATACACGAGGGAAAAAAAAAGAAAAACAAAAAAAAACATCACAAAAGACCCATTGATTCGGTTGTCTGGGTGACTTGGTTAAATGCACACACTCATGGCAGTCGGACATCTTGCACAGTTTCTGTTCCGCTGCTCTTTGTCATTTCGGTCATGGGGTTAGAAGTCGAATAATGCATTCCGTCGTTTCTATTCAAGTTTAGCTATCATTGTCTCCCTTGACTCACAGTCCAACGTAGGGTAGTACTTGCTGCGTGGTGACATGTAGGTCTATATACATACTTAGCTCTTATGTAGCTGTGCTGCACAACATATCTACCACGTCTATGCATAATGCATAAAAGAATGGAACTAGCCCTGTAGTCCAAAGGTGCTACATACAACTTTATAGGTTGTGTGATCAAACATGTTTAACACAGATCAAAAGTAAGAGAATGTTGGTTTGAGATGGAAAATAAGAAATCAGAGAAGGGCTCAATATGCTGCCAATGCAGGGCCATGCAAAAGATAAAAACAAGAAACCGGAATTGAAACATATATGCAGGAAAGAAGAGAAAACCCCCCATATAACAGCGATTATCAATTACAGTACAAGCTCGATTCACTAGCAATGCTAGACAGGTCTGTTTGGATAAGCTTCAGAGGTAGAGAGGGAGAGGAGAGCGTATAGAGATGCAGATCATGAGTCGTGTCGTAGGGGATTCAATGCATCCTTTTCAGACACAATGTGATGTCAGGGGGGAGACCGTTAATGAATCATGGGGGAAAGAAAAGAGTAAAATAACCGACAGACGGGATATCTTCAAAAGAAAAAAAAAGAAGGAAAAAAAAAAAGAAAACCCCCCAAAAGAACCTCTCATGGCCACCAGCCCATGCGCTTATAGCTATCCACGATTTCGCGGATACTGTCAGCACCGAAATTCGGGTACGATGGCTTCCAGCCAACCTCAGCCTCGAACTTAGACCCGTCAAGACACATATCCTCATCTCTGAGAATATCCCGTTCCAAGAACGGACTGATCGGTCCAGGACGAGTGATATTAGCCCTCTCAACGAGCTCCGCCCAAGTCTGCAATCCGACCTCATTCATATCATCAACGACCTCGTCGAGATTCAACTTAGCAAGCTGCGAAGCAAGCGACCCGATAAATGAAACCTTGAGACCAAACACCTCCGTCAAAGCCTTAGCGACATGTTCCTGTTTCGTGTCATTGTGATCAACAACATTGAACGCAACAACACCATCCTTGGGATCAATGAAACCCTTCTTCGCGCGCCACTTAGCAGCCTCGAACAGCGCACTAGCAGCGTCCTTAACGTGGAGGGTATTAATTTTCAAGTCCTTAGTATGCAATAAGACCAGTTCCTGCTTGAGCTCGACATGCACGGCAGATAGACAAATGCCCGTAGCAAAGTAACCGGGGTCGTAGGCTCCGTAGACGTGGGGCAGACGGAGGCAGCAGTACTGCAAGTTTGGAATTTTGCGCAGTTCCTCTGCGGCCTTGAGTTTCCACGAGGCTAGTTTGTGCCACGGGGCGAGTTTGTCTGTCTCCTTGCGTGGTGTTGAGCTACCCTTGTAGACGTGCGCGGTTGAAGTCTCGATGAAGGCGGGGATACCGCGTCGGGCAATTTCTTTACCGAGGGCGACTGTGAGGGCGTAGCTGCGCACTTCGTAGACGTCGTCGGGTTGGGAGTGGCGTGTTTCACCGCCGCAGTTAATTACATAGTCGAATTGTTCGCCATTGGCTCGGTCGAAGATGCGTGGGAAGTGTTCTGTGGGGGATTAGATTGGAATTTGGGGAGGGAATTGGTTGGGTTACTTACGTTCACGACTGGCGTCTGCCTGTACGAACTTGTCCTTGGAACATGCTTCTGAGAATTCGGGGGCTAACCATGCCAATTGTGGGAGGACTTTGTCTACTAAACGCACTTCTGAGGCTAGGTTGTTCTCGTGGAGGTATAGTGCGAGGTGTCGACCGATGAAGCCTGGGAATGTTAGATGGAAATTATAGGAAGAACAAAGAAGGTCTTACCGAGGCCACCAACAATTAGAACGGCGGGTTTTTTGGCGTCGGCCATTTTGAATGTGAAAGGGAAAAAAAAAAGGTCTCCCCGCAGGTTCAGGAGAAAGGGGGGAAAGGCGAAGGACGGGAGAAAGGAGGGGGGCGGACTAAAAGGGAACAATTAAAAAGAAACAGAAACTTAGAAAAAAAAAAAGAATCTAAAGAATATTTTATTTTAACAAAAAAAAAAGAAAAAGAGAAAAACTAAAAAAGAAAAACAATATTATTATTCGGCTCCCCTGCCAAGCCGGTTCAACGTGGGTTACAGTGGGAACAATTCACATCTATCTGTGACGTCGTGGAGATAATGGATGTTAGTGAGATTAGTATGTTAGTATTCAACTTTTACGACATCTATTCAAGCTGTATAATGAAAATAATATGTGATAAATAACTGATATACCTGTTGTTTTTGTATAGAAAGTTCATGTAAGTAGATCTGTGTTAGTCCCGTGGTACTGGGTTCCGATCACCCGAACCATAGATGCAATGAGCCTCCTTCCCATGCTTAATTCGACTATATCAGCTTTATATTAATTTCATAATTCTTTGTAAATTAATCATAGCTAGGGCTGCTTTACAACGAGCATTTGGCCACATATAACATAACATATAATCAAAAAGAGGCAATGGGGCGGGGCACTTATCGAAGGACGATCTTGTCGGCGCGGCAATCGAACAAGGAAAATGTCGGAGTGTGAGCGGCTTATTGGGGAGGCTGTGCTCTACCACATCCAACTTAGTAATGTGTCCTTTAAGATTAAACGTATAGGACGACACGTAGCTTAAGATTAGAGGAATGTCGTAATATCAGATAGATGTTCACAGAGGTCCTTCATTGGATCTGGAGTCTCTGCCTTTTTTGGCCATACCACACCCGTTGAAGTCCTTATACTGATAGACGGATATCTTCCCGCAGTTTGTAGAACAAGTACAACCAGTCAATGAGATCAATTCTGAAATATCATACATCTAGCTACCAATTCAGGCCTAGCGAGAAGGTCAATGCCACCAAATATGAGACATATTGCTACTTCAGAAACTATGTAGGGTTAACATATCTATAAATCTCGGACCGGTGCCGGATTCCGGTCAGATACAAGCCAGGGGATCTGCCAACGGCTGGAACCCAGACCTTGTCAACACTATTATCCAATCCATCAGATTTCGCAATGTGTAGCGATGAAGGAGTTGAATTGATGATATTCGGATTTTGATCGGCCTTATATTATCCGTATAAGACTATATAGCGCAAATAAATATCCCGGCTAAACTTCGGATAGACATGAAACAACCCCCTCTCGATACGACAGAGTCACACTGGTGAAACTCAATATATTTAATAATAGCCAAAGTAAGGTATATTCATAGTGCTTTAACAACCGGAAGAGTAAGAAAACGTGAGAAATCATACATTCCTATAGAATCATGATGCGCCTAGACACTTCAGTGAGTTTCTAAGCTCCTTAATAGCGGTGTCAACATCATCGAAAGTCAAAGCAGAGACCGCCCAACGAGCATGTTTCTGCGCCAACTGCACCGAGCTATCATCTATATCATGTGATGGTTGGGATGGGACATAGGGAGCTGGTTGCACCGGAGCGTGGGCAAGTGGGGATGGAACAAATGTCGGAGCAGCCGGAGGCTGGATAGGAGCACTGGCACTTGGGGTATCGTAGAAAGAAGCCGGGTCTGGCGCGGATACGGACGTGTCCTCAGATGGTGGAGGGAAGGAATGGAATGCAGTCGGGGTATCTGGAAGTTTAGGCACAGAAGATGAACCGCCAATGGTGGCTGGAGTTGACGGGAGCTCTAAGTTGCCTGTGTTGGAATCAACATCCATCGCTCGCGGAGAACCAGGTGCGTCGCGAGGAACAGAAGGGATCTCGGGCGGGGGACGAGGTGTTGACGATGTGCGTGATGGGTGAAGTGATTCATCGAGAGTCGATTTCTGAGCCAGCTCTCGTCCGAGACGGTCAGACTCGTCTGGGATCTCTTCAATAGAGGGTTGATGTGGTTTAGAGGCCTGCTCCGCTACCGACTCATCAAATGCCTGGACCTCGGGGTCGTCGATGAGTTCTTCTTCCTGCTTTGGCACGGGATTTGTCTCGTTGGGATCTTCGCCGGCTTTGATAGCCTTGACAATCCGGACGGCGTGGAATTTGGCGAATTTGATCCGCCCGGCAAGTTCTGGGTCCAGAGGGCCCCAGATCGAACAAAGTTCGAGGAATGTGGCTGCTGCCGAGAAAGTATCTGCCGTTTGCCTTTTTGGGTTTTTAGACATTGGTAGCTCCAATAATCAATTAGAGAGCCTACCTTGTGACTTTGTTGGCATTCATAGCGGCCTCAGCACGACCGAAGACCTCCAATCCGAATTGCTCGACATAGGCGCACGCCGCAACAGTGTCCGTGACTGCATCATTGTCTGGGTTTTCTACTTTGAACTATTTAACGCCAATATCATCAGCTGCTAGATCTCAAGAGGGAGATGTGAAATATAGACTAGTAGGAAGGCAACGAGGGCGGGGAGCGTAACTCACCTGCTCCAGCTTTTCCACGAGGTCCGTCGTGTAGAGTTTGATCTCATCGTCGGTATTGTGAAGATCCCTTTCAATAATCTGGTTTACAATATGGAAATTGCCTACATTGAGGTTCAATCAGCTCAAATGTTCTGTATTCAGCGCGGGGTCCTACAACTTACACCAATAGGCAACCACAGGTTTGGCTTTCTCGATCTGAGCTGCCCTAGTGGCAAATCGCCCGATATCTGCCGATCGCAATCCAGCTGGGATGTTACTCGCCATGATTTAAGATGTTGTGTTCAGGAGAAGATGGTGAACGAATGACGTTTGGAGCTTGCGGAATTCCCACCGCCCGTGTGCGGGGGCCAAGGGCGCTTATCGCTCTCTTATCTACCAGTCTTCAACGATTTGGAGATCTATGAAACTGCCCAGGAAACTATTTCATGAGATATATGTACACTATATATTTCCGATTGTACTTGGTATCATTCATCTTCAATTGCCCACTTTCCAATCTCCACTCTCTCCTCCGCCAATGCTTCCACTTCAAAATGATCCTCCACCTGCCCTCCCGGGCCCCCAATACGCTCAATAACAATCCATACATACTGTGACTCGGCACTAGGTAGCAAATCAAAATCATCAACTCGAACCCCGGACGTAGCATCGCTGTGAGCTCCATCCTCCGAGGTAGCCAATATCTTCTTGTATGGCCCCTGGCCCAGCTCCACAGTCATCAACACGGGAGACGGAGCAACAGCGCGAGAGCCAATCGTGGACCGCCTATTCCTCGCAATGAGTCGAATCCGTGTCAAACGAGAGACTCGCAGCGACGCCAGCATCCGGTCCTTGCCCGGAGACAAAACACCTACTTCAGATAGGACAGCGCGCCGCCCAGCAGACTCAGATACCAAGGGCTGGACTACACACGGGATCGTAGATGATATCCATAAGGTGAAGCGGCCAAGCTGGTCAGGTGCAAATGTAGAACAGACGATGGTGTATGTGCCTCTTTCTAGGGATCTGGTTTCGGCCAATGCGCATCCACGACGGTAATCGCCACTGTCTGCAATAATGTCTCGGCTTCGCACGCGCGATATCCGCTGTCCGTTTGACCAAAAGATTTTCACGTGGGTTGCTAGCTCTGCTTCACTGGTCTCGAGCAATATTGAGACGTCAGTCGGTTCGGAAATTCGTATACTGAATTGTGGATTGGAGTGGTATCGAGGTGACTCGGCATTTCCTCCTGCTGTCATTGCTGTCCAGGAACCAGCTGCCTTGGTCAAGCATAGATATTTATCTAGTGAGGGTGCCACAGCCACCGGGGCAGTTGAAAATGCAGAGAGTGTGAAATTCTGAGTAGATGACGGGAGGGATTGCTCGGATATGACTGCGGTGTAGGTCGACTTAGGAGGCATTTCCAGCCTCATAAGCGTGTTGGGAGAGTCCACGTATGGTCCGCGATGGAGCGCACCGTCACTGAGAGACACTCTTCGGCCATCTGCTTTGAAGATGTAGATGCTGATAAAGCCTATTTCGTTTTCCGGTTCCCCGGAACTGAATTGGTCAAGGTCTGTCTTGAAATGTTTTCCAAGCAACAGCCAGACCGTGCCTCCTGAATCACTGGAGATGGAGAATTGGGGATTTTTCACGAAGCAGCCGGCGATAACTCGGCCATGCGACAAATCCCAAGTAAAATGTATGTCCTCACGATATTTGAACAAACCAGGATTCCAGTTAAGGTAAAGATTCTCGAAATTCTGGAGGACTTGTTCACAGTCCATCCAGAATTTCCCTGGGGAAAGGGGAGGCTTATCATTCAGGTCGAGTGAGGCGGTATCAGCCGCAAGACTGCTTTGTATATTGGGCTCTGCGCCAGCCCACGGGTTCTTCAAAAGGAACTGGCGACGACCCTTTACCTCTTTCATGTCCAAAATAGCATAATCATGCTCGCCCACTAGCCCCAGGCCTTGTTGTTCGAATTCTGTCAGCTTCCCAGTGCCGATAGTCAAAACTACGTCGCCATGCCAGAAAGCATTGTATAAACGTCCCCAAATCTCATCAGAGGTCGAATCGTCGTGATGTAAGAACACTTGTTCTGGAATCCACCCAGTTAGCACCCAAAGGTCGGTCCCTGAGTTACTTCCTGGGAAATCATAGCCTCCGCGAACCTTCAAGTAGGCCTTCTCTACAAGAGCAGGCCACAAAAAGTTCGAGTTATTGCGATCGATCACGTGGAGTGAGCGTGTTGTCTTCGATGATGGTAATCGATCATCTATCACTACCTTTCGGAAAGATCCGTTGAAGTAAAAACAAAATATGTATTTTCCAGAAGGCGAAAGTATCGGGCTCTTCTCCTCATTGCACGGGTACAGTGTCGGTGATGCATGCTGTTCGAATTAGCTTTTGGGCACTCCTCTATGTGGGATGAAATTAGTCCATACCTGTCCTAAACCTCGTTCCGCTCGGGATGTTGTGGCACATAGGCTTGCAACCACTGAACAGTCTGTTAACACATCCTGCACGAGATCTGTTTGCCCGGAAGCCGACATAACAGGATCGATTGTATCATGTCCCTGGTTAGCAGCATTCTTTGTCCGTAACAGATCATGTGGCCTTTTCCAGCCTGCAAAAATCTCTCTCTGGCATTCAGAGAGGTGCAAATCAGGTGCATCCCTATATCCGGTTAGAAAAGATCAGCATTGGAACGTTTCTCCACATACGTAAAAGCCTGTCCTTTGTATACAAATTCATCTTGAAGCGGGGCACGGCTCCACGGTGGAAAGATATAACCGTTGAGTTTGGCGCCCTCGAGAATGATGATTTCTTCCCGGGTGGTGAGCTTCCGCGTAGATGCCGGTGGTCGTAAGCTAGGGAAGACTTTCTGGGGCCCCGCACGAGCAACAGACTGCCAGTCAGCAGCGGCCTTGATCTTCTCGGCTTTGGACAGCAATTCCTTGCATTTCGTGTCTAGTTGTTTTTTATCGTCGGGGGATGCCAAGCGCAGCGCTTTCATGTAATATTCCGCGGCATTGATGGCCGCCTCCAATGCCGCTTTCTGGGAGGTGGCTGCGACTACCGCCTCTTCAGCGCTCTATCGAGTCATTAGCTTCAAATGTAAGCGTAAAATAAAACAATAAAAATACCAATGCTTGAGATATATATATGGATGCAGGTCTAGACATATTTGTTAAGTTGTGGAGGTAATCAGATCGAACAGCAAGTAAATTACCGGATTTGGTTGAGCCGAGAGAGGACCCGTACGTTTTTAATTCCGGTGAATATTCCGAGATTTACATTTGTAAAAGATTGATATTTATGAGACAGTTATATTGAGAGTACTCTATATATGAAAAAGATATAGAAACTATATAGATATATGTATATAGAAATATAAAAAGAGGGAAATAAATACTGATGTAATGCAATGACATAAGCTCATACCGACTTTAGAGTGGACCTCGGCTCACTCTTTTAAGGTGACGCCGAGGTGTTGTGAATTCCGCATGAGCTCGGTCACTTTTTTTAATTCGGGTGACTTCGGTATGATTGTCGTCTTGTGTATTTCTCCATTGTGATATTTCTTTCATTTCACTCTCTCCGTTGTTCGGAGTAAAGCAGTGTAGAGCCCCGCTCAATATTTCTCCTGTCGCCCGGCCGCTAAGAGAACCGAGCCCTCCTCCTAGATCCTATTCTTATTTGCGCTCCCTTGATTTCGAACATCCTTAAAACGACATTATGGCCGGTCAATCTAAGCCTGCGCTATCGCCATGGGGCAGCGCCGTGGCAGGCGCAACAGGTGCCGTCCTGGCCAACGCAATGGTGTACCCACTTGACTTGTGAGGTCCCAGATAAAACAGTACTCAAATTATCAGACTAAAGCCCGCTAACTGTAGCGCTCCCGATATCTAGAGTCAAGACAAAACTACAAGTACAAGTCAAGGAGAAGAACGGAGCTGTGCGAGCCGACGACGTCGAACATTATGAATCGACAATGGATGCTATCAACAAGATCGTGGAGAAGGAGGGCCCTAGCGGTCTATACGCCGGAATGGCGGGAGCCCTTCTAGGTGTCGCCTCAACAAACTTCGCATACTTCTATTGGTACAGCGTCGTAAGAACGCTTTACATGGCTTCTGCTAAGTCGACAAAGGCTCCCGGCACAGCGATTGAGCTCTCCCTAGGCGCCGTCTCCGGTGCCGTGGCTCAGCTTTTCACCATCCCGGTGGCCGTTATTACAACCCGGCAACAGACACAGCCAAAGGGCGATAAGAAGGGATTGATCGAGACTGGTCGGGAGGTGGTCGAGAGCGAGGACGGCTGGACCGGCCTGTGGCGCGGCCTAAAGGCTAGCTTGATCCTGGTCGTCAACCCGGCCATCACTTATGGCGCATACCAGCGTCTGAAGGATGTTATATTCCCAGGAAAGAACAACCTCAAGCCTTGGGAGGCATTCTGTGAGTAGCGGCAATTCTCATGGTCAACAACTTGCTGATTATTATTTTAGTGCTTGGTGCCATGTCCAAGGCTTTGGCCACAATTGTAACCCAGCCTCTGATTGTCGCTAAGGTTGGACTTCAGTCTCGCCCACCGCCCAGCCGGAATGGCAAGCCCTTCAAGACCTTTGGTGAGGTCATGAAGCACATTGTTGATAATGAGGGTCTCTTTTCCCTTTTCAAGGGTATTGGACCTCAGATCCTGAAGGGGCTTTTGGTCCAGGGTCTGCTGATGATGACCAAGGAGAGGTATGTTTTCTTCTCAGAATTATCATTTCTTTGTACTAACTTTCATAAGGATGGAGCTTCTTTTCATCCTCCTGTTCGCTTACCTCAAGAACATCAAGAAGGATAAGCTGCGCAAGGCAGTGGATTTGGCAGCTGAAAAGGCCAAGACCAGCATGCCTGCTACACTGAAATAATTGTCTTATAGTTAGACGGAGGGATTTTCGGTTTTCCTTTCCATTCCAAATTGTATTTACCTAACTGGCGCGTTGGTATGCTGTTGGCAATTCTGGTGGATTTTGAACAGTCTAGACATTTTCCGGTCTTTTGCTGGAAACACTTGATAGAATGTGTTTCTGGCTTTTCAATATCATTATATAGATCTGTACATGGTCATGTCATCTATGGATTCCTTACTTGCTTTAGTCCTCAGTAACCTTTATACTTGGACCAAATCCCACCGCTCTTATCATCCACAAGCTTCAATGTTGAGACTGTCTATCAAGCTTGGCTTGGAAATATTCCAGTAGTAAATAGTGTTGCTGCGGCCAAAGTTGTCCGAATAATAGCTTTCAGGCTACCAGCGTATAGTAGTAATGGCTGCTAAATACCTGAGTAGAATTAAAACTTGAAGAAACCAGAAGGAAAGTGTCATATTACAACGACTCTCCTCATATATTTAATGTTGTATAGGGTCGACGGACGTTTGTTGATTTACCAATAATAGCAATTGGTTGCTTTACCCGTGCCGATGATCTTTGCTAGACCGATAACCTTTTACCCCCAACAACCACCCTCGCCAAACGCTCGTTCTCACATAAACTTGTCACATAAGTGGCATGGGTCGTGATGCGATGGCCGCCATGGAGCTCCGAGTCGACCAATGACGAAAAAAAACAAACACCCAGCTCCTGGCTCTCCTCCGCGGCAAACAACCCAAGTTCCATCCTCGACTGGACAGCGTTCACAGAAGTCAGAACCATTCTGCCAACCCTCGTCTTAACAAGCGGCATTCTCATTGCAGTGCGCTTCCACCGCCGCTATCTACGGCGCATCCCCGACGCGCCCAGCATCTCATCCTCGTATCTTCGCCGGCGGAGCATCTTCGGCCAAGTCACCAGCGTCGGCGATGGAGACAATTTCAGGATATTCCATACTCCAGGCGGCCGCATGGCTGGATGGGGCTGGCTACCGTGGAAAAAGGTTCCTACTGCGAAGAAGGATCTGAAGGATAAAACTGTTCGTCACCTACTGTCCCACCCTTGGCGTTTCCACCCTGGAATAGGCATAACTATGCCGCGGCATATCATATACCATAACCCCATCCTTATATCTACATGCAGCTTACATATTTACTCGACCCCAGATCCACATCCGCCTCGCTGGCGTCGACGCCCCAGAACTAGCCCACTTCGGCCGCCCCGAACAACCCTTCGCGCGTGACGCACACACCTGGCTAACATCCTACGTATCTGGCCGACGAATCCGTGCCCTCGTCCATCGCCAGGATCAATACTCGCGCGTGGTCGCGAGTGTCTTTGTGCGGCGCGCATTTGACTTTCCACCATTCCGTCGACGGGATGTTTCTTACGAAATGCTGAAGCGTGGATTAGCGACTGTATACGAAGCGAAGGTTGGCTCGGAATTTGGCGGTGATAAGATGGAAAAGAAATACCGCAAGGCCGAGTGGTGGGCTAAGAAGCGAGCTAAGGGGCTTTGGAAGGATTATCGTCGTATCGGATCTGGCTGGGAGAGTCCGAGGGAGTACAAGAATCGGATGGGGATGGGGGATCCTCTTCCGATTGATAAGTTGAATGGGAAAGGAAAGACTGGAGCGAAATAGATGAGTCGCGGTAAGCTGGGCTTGCGATTATGGCTATGAGCGTTTATATGTTGTTTTTCTTGCTGGCATTTTACATTTGCATGCGACGAGACCACACGACTACAATCCTTTACACAGCGTTGTATATGTATGGCTGATACGCGAGGATCATGATCAATCCAAAATTTGAATGCTGAATATGATACACCAAGTGTTAAGCTATACATGCGCGGGGGGTGGTGTTGGCCCCAAATCAAGCCCCAATTGCTGAATGGGCATTAAGACTCGCGTGGTCTCCCGAGAGGTTGGAGGAATACAAGAAAGAAAATCAGTATACAGGCTATTATTTGCTTAGCAAAACCGTCGCTCAATCTCAGCAAACAGCTTTGGGGTGATTTCGTCGGAGCTATTACCCTCCGCACGGAATAGACACTGCAGACGGTCATAGTGCTCCAGGAGGCATTTGCTCGTCTCTTCAAACTTCTGTAAACGCTGCTTCCATGTATCGAGGGAATCGTCCTCTCGCTGCGTCAAGGGCTCGCCCGTGACATCGTCCTTGCCTGCCACCTTCGGTGGGTGGAAGTCTGTGTTATACACACGCCCTGAGGGCTCGTGGACCCAGCGGGATGCGATGCGAGAGAGGATCACCGATGGTGGGGTGATGAGGTGCACGACGAAGTTGACCGGTACTAGGCTGTCTAGGGATATTGCCTGAGTTGCGGTGCGGGGAAACCCGTCGAGGATAAACGAGGCAGAGGAATTGAGTGAATGAGCCGAGGAGGAAGTAACGGCCGGAGAAGAAGATGATGCGGATGTTGAGGATAGTGCTGAGGATTCGGATGGGAGGAGCCAGCCCTTGGATTTCATATCATTGGAGATCAAGTTCAAGATCATTGAGTCAGGAACAAGGTTTCCGGACTGCATTGCGGCCTCGGCTTCCAGGCCTGTTACTGGGGTTAGAAATACTCCGTATGCAATTAATTCCACTGACGCTGGCTCTACTTACCGAGGGGTGTGCGTCGGCGCACATTCTCTCTCAACAGATCACCGGAGCTGATCGAACCTAGCTGTGGGAATCGGGCTAGCAGTCGCTCGGACTGTGTTCCTTTTCCTACTCCCGGTGCGCCAATCAAGATAATCCGCGCAGCCTTACGGAGCTGCTTTGTCGCGTGTGACATTATGTGTGATGGCTGTGTTGAGAGCTCGTAGAGTGTTTAAAATTGCTGGTCCTGGCACTCAACGGTTCAAATGTTGGGGATGCGGAGGGACCACGAGAAATCTTGTGGACAAAATCACGACAGCATAATGGATTGAAGGGAAGAGTTGAAGCCTGGGGTGAGTTGATAAGCAGTCGCATATCCCCAGGGCTAAGACTTTTGGGAATGTGATTCTGTGGGGAGGTTGATCCTTTCGGTTGTCGGTGAAGACTCCGAGGGAAACTGGGTATGTACGGCGTATATAGCAGCACTTCAAGTCTTGAATAATGAAAAGATTTATATTATAATACAACGTCATTACCTCGAGAGAAGATCAAGTACTTATATACATATGCATCTGCTTATGCTCGGTATAGCCAATTTCACATGTCTCTGCACATGGTCTTAGAAAACGCATTCGGGGAAATCATCTCCCGTTAAGCGCCAGGGGGGGCCCTGCTGGAGCCGGGGTACTTTATTACGTAAGGCACGCCAATTGCCGGTTTTATTTCACGTGATTTTGCGCGTGGGACGCGTTCGCGTTGACCAATTTAGTGCGGAGATATCTCATACATTTCTCGACAACGCAATACTTGTACACCATGATTCGACAAGACGCCCATCGCATCGATCCTAAACGAAGGGCTGTTATTGACCCTAAAAAAAGACAATTCGCTGCTCCAACATACAAACAGCAGGACTATGCGCACCGTCTGAACATTTATGACATACCTCCTACCGCGGAAATCACTCTCGAACAATTCGAGCAATGGGCCATTGACAGACTGAAGAGTACGCGCATTTAAACATTCACATTCTCATACATACTAATACCAAACAGTCTTGGCCGAGATCGAGGCATGCTCTTATCGAAACAAATCCCCCGCCGAGACGGCCACCTACATTACACCTCTTTTGCAGAAATTCCTCCCTCTTTCCTCCAATACCTCCTCCCCCTCTGGTGCTGCAGACCCACGCTTGAAAAATGAGCGTCAAAAGGACCACTACTCCCATTTTATCCTTCGGTTGGCCTTCTCGGCCACAGAGGACCTCCGTCGACGATTCGCCCGCGCCGAGACCATGCTGTTCAGATTTCGTTTCCAACAGGACGACTCGAGGGAGAAGCGCGCATTCATTGATAGTTTGAATCTCGATTGGGAACCTGTAGGTGACTTTGAGAAGACGGAGATTGCGGAGAGTCTCCTCAGCTCCACGCCAGGCCTACGTCGGCTGGATGATGAGACCTGGTATAAAGTCGACTGGGAAAAGGTCCCTGAGCTAATCGAGCGGCGCTCCGTCTTCCTGAAGAAAGGAAAGGCTTATGTTCCTGGTCGAGAGCAGCTTAGCATGATCATGGCTGAGTTTACCTCTCGCTTGGAACGTGCACTTGAGGTATGTCTGCAGCGGTGACTTATGCTTGAAATGTCGTGGCTAATTAAATTCTAGCTCACTAGCCGTGCCCTCCCCCGCTTGGACGAGGATGACCGTCTAACGCCCATTCTGAATCATCTTTCAAAGAACTTTGGCAGCGCCGAGTCAGTGTACTCGGAAGGCGAAGGATATGTGGACGGATCTCCGATCACAGCCAGCTCGATAGACCAACTGGCCCAACAGCACTTCCCGTTGTGCATGAAGAGCTTGCATGTCAACTTGCGGAAGAACAATCACCTGAAGCACTTTGGTCGACTCCAGTATACGCTCTTCCTGAAGGGCATTGGCTTGTCCTTGGAGGAGTGTATTCTGTTCTGGCGTCAAGGGTTCAAGGGCAAGACCGATGATGAGTTCAACTCTCAATACAAGTACAATATTCGTCACGCCTATGGCGAGGTCGGTGGAGATGTGAACCGTCGCGGAAAGGGTTATACTCCCTATTCGTGCCAGAAGATCCTCGGCGACTCAAATCCCGGTATTGGCCAGACTCACGGCTGTCCCTATCGCCATTATTCCGTTGATAACCTAGTGGGCTTCCTTCAGGCCACTGGCGTGAATGACAAGGAGGTGCTGCGGGGTGTGCGTGAGGACGTTGGTAAGATGCGCTATCACATCGCTTGCAATAGAGTGTTCGAGGCGACGCACAAGAATGAGATCAAGAAGGTCAAGGAGGATGGATCATGGAGTCAGACTGACCTTGACACGATTGTTCACCCGAACACCTACTTCAAGCGGAGCTTCCTGTTGAAGCAAATAGCTAAGGCCCCGAAGGAAGCTTAGGGTCTTTTCACATGTCAAATTTTTCATGATGTAATGTTGGGTTGTCTTTCAGTTTTCACGTGTTTTCTTTGATAGTCGGCGTTTAGAGGGATCATAGGATTGTACGAGCACATAAGCAGGTTCAATTGGAGCACATTTGATATATATTCTAACAATTATGGTATACAAAATTGGAGTGTGACCACAGCTGATTCCCAGAGAATCGGAAAGGATCAGAATGACCTCTCAAATCCAGGTGCCCAGCAACGGGTCAAGTCGTTCTCCGCTCAACGAGTAGACAACTTTGCCATGGAATGACGAAAGTTGTTGATAATAATATGTTTACACACATTGTAGGCTGGCGTGAAATTGAAGAGAAAAGAAAAAAGGAGAGAAGAAACTGCGGACGAGCCGAGTTTTAATGATGTTTTGGTCCGGGAGGCGGTAGAGACCAACTGTGCTGCAACCTGGCCTTACTCGCGGATCGGACCTCCACACAACATACTCCCCCATCTCGTTCATTCAATCCCAAGCTATTAACAGGGACTTTATTTCTTTTGGGACTGGATTATGCCCCGGGTGGTTTACGTGCTTAGTTTCTTGGAGTAGACCCTAATTTCCGAGGTTCCCTTTCCTCGCGACATCTCAATATCCGCATATACCCCCTCCCTTGGTCAACACAAGACCGAGTCCCCGAACATCTACCGACAAGATGGATTACGAAGCGCTGAAGGATCAATGGAGTGATGTGGAGGACCGCGATGGCATCAGACTCAGTTGGAACACTTTCCCGAGCACTCGCATGGTTCGTGATAGTGACCCTGTCTCACCTTCACCGCATCATTCGCTGATACTTGATATAGGAAGCGTCCCGCTTGGTCGTTCCCATCGCTGCCGTCTACACCCCGTTGAAGGAAAAGCCCGACTCCCCTTTGCTACAATATGAGCCCGTTACTTGCAAGCAACCTTGTCGAGCTGTGCTCAACCCATACGCGTACGTGACCTGTTGGTCTGATATAGCTCAATGAGTAGATGGACTGACGCTTGGATAGCACTGTCGATGTCCGCGCACGACTCTGGATCTGCCCCTTCTGTTTGTCGCGCAACCCTCTTCCTCCGCATTACAAGGATATCACGGAGAACACGATACCCCCAGAGCTCCACCCCCAGAGCACGACGATCGAGTACCAATTGGCACGACCAGCCCCCGCTCCCCCGATCTTCGTCTTTGTCGTCGATACCTGCCAGGAGGATGACAGTCTTCAGGCTGTGAAGGATTCCCTCATCATGAGCTTGTCTCTTCTACCACCCAACGCGCTGGTTGGTCTGATTACCTTCGGTACAATGGTAAGGAAAGATGATATTTGCGAGGCAGGTGACATGTTATTGACCTTGATATATAGGCCCAAGTTCACGAGCTCGGCTACACCGAATGCGCAAAGTCATATGTGTTCAGAGGCAACAAAGAATACAACGCCAAGCAGGTTCAAGAGATGCTGGGCCTGGCCGGTGGCGTGCGCCCCGGTGTTCCCCAGCAACAGCCTCCCCGTGCTCCCCTTGGCCCGGCTGCCCGCTTCCTCATGCCTGTTCAGCAAGCTGAATTCCAGATCACCAATGTCCTCGAACAATTGCAGCGCGATCCCTGGCCTGTGGCCAATGACAAGCGTCCCCTTCGCTGCACCGGTGTCGCCCTGAGCGTTGCCGTTGGTCTTCTTGAGACTTCCTTCCAGAACGCCGGAGCCCGCATTATGGCCTTCACCAGTGGTGCCGCCACTGAGGGCCCTGGCCACGTTGTTTCACCTGAACTGAAAGAGCCTATTCGTTCCCACCACGATATCGACCGTGACAACATTAAGTACTACAAGAAGGCTGTCAAGGTCAGTTCTCAACGTATCGGTATATTGGAATTTTGCTAATCCCAATTCTAGTTCTACGACGCCCTCGCCAAACGCGCGGCCAACAATGGCCACATTGTCGATATTTTCGCTGGATGTCTTGATCAAGTCGGTATGCTGGAGATGAAGAACCTCTCCAACTTTACTGGAGGTCACATGCTTCTCACCGATAGCTTCACATCATCACAGTTCAAGCAATCGTTCGTGCGCGTGTTCGACAAGGACGCCAACGATAACCTATTGATGGGCTTCAATGCATCCCTCGAGGTGCTTACGACTAAGGAACTTAAGGTTACTGGTCTGATTGGTCACGCTATCTCACTGAACAAGAAGTCAAGCTCTGTTGGCGAGACAGAATGCGGTATCGGTAACACCTGTGCTTGGAAGATGTGTGGAATGGATCCATCCTCCAGCTACGGTATTTACTTTGAGATTGCCAACCAGGGTGGCCCAGCTGCTGTTCAGCCTGGTCCTCAACGGGGTGTGATGCAGTTCTTGACATACTACCAGCACTCCTCTGGGCACTACCACCTGCGGGTGACCACCGCTGCCCGCCCCTTGAGCGGACCTGCCGGTGACCCAACCCTGGCACAGTCCTTCGACCAAGAGGCTGCCGCTGTCCTCATGGCCCGTATTGCAGTGTTCAAGGCCGAGGTTGATGATGGGCCAGACGTCCTGCGCTGGGTTGATCGCATGCTGATCAGACTCTGCTCCCGATTCGCTGACTACCGGAAGGATGACCCGACATCATTCCGATTGGAAAAGAACTTCACCCTGTACCCTCAGTTCATGTTCCATCTCCGCCGAAGTCAGTTCCTGCAGGTTTTCAACAACTCACCCGATGAAACTGCTTTCTACCGACATGTGTTGAACCACGAGGATACCGGTGACTCTCTT